CCAGCAGCTTGCCGATGCTCGCCGCGCCTCCTTCCTGGTGTACACGCGCAAATGGTGACGCCCAAACAGGCGACGGCTCTGCCACATGAAGGTCTTGTTGTGCTTGGACTTGTACCTTTGATCATCAAATGACTTCTGCTGCACTGCGTGTTGACTTACCATGAATTTTCCGCCTACTTGGCCCCGCAAGGGCCATACACCACCATGTTATGATCGAAGTTGGGGAAGAAAAAATACGGAAATCAGTAAATGAACGGGGGGAAATGGACAAAACAGAAACACATATACACAATAATTAGTACTGCACATGTGCAACGTCAAATTGTGATTATAAAATCCCTAGGGATTACTGTAGCCAACCCCCACACGGGAAACATGTTTTGACACTCAAATGGGTTGGTCTCCCCTGATCAATATACAAGGGGTTGTACCACCCGATTAATCAACCCCCACAGAGAAAATCCAATTTTGTTTGTCACATGCAGCCACATGCTTTGAACACCACTCATCGCCACTCCTTTCAAGCCTCACACAGAGCTTTGACTCTGACAAACCTCCGACAGAGATTCCCCCATAAGGTTCTGTTGGCTCAACACACACTACAATCATATGTAATTATATAATTACTTTGTTGCATTGGCGCCAGCCTTTTTGTGACTTTGCAGTCACAGGCTTGTGACTTTGCAATCACAGGCTCAGTCTTGCAGTCTTGATTCAAACCAAATTCTTGGTTAATTTTCACCAAAAAAATATATCCCAAATGATCAATTTCTTTATTAAAGTCCTTTTAAACCACATCACTTTGAGAAGCTCCCAAAGGGTACCCCTCATGAGCCCATGTTCCCCCAAATAATAGGCAGGGTTTCCCTAATTAATCAACCCCCTTCGCCCCTTTAGATTTCTTTTTGGTTTAAAAGAAAAATCAATAGAAAGTAGATTGATGTGAAATGAAATCCGTCCTAAAATGATGATTTCTGTTTGGTGTAAGAGGAAAATCAATTGAAAGTAGATTGATATAGATTCGAAATTAATCTCTTATGACTTCAACTTAGGGGGACGATTATTTCGCGGGAAAACTTAGCAGAACCTTCTCCCTAGGCACCTACCTTCTGAAGGGGGTGCGTTTTTATTAATCACAACTTGACATTATATATATACACATATATTCTATTTCACGAACCTAAGTAATACGCATGGATATAGTTACAACTATGCCTATGCAGCCTATGCATATATATATATAATTATATATATATATCAAAATATACACATAGTTCAAGGTTCAAGAAAACACTTGTCAAAAGGCACAGAAATGCAAAGGCATGGCCAAGATTTGTGGCCTCACAGAGCTCCAATCTTACTGGTTTCCATTCTTAAGTGCGCCCATTTGCACACAAAACAATATTTCGGGAATAGATTGTGGTAAATTATCATTCATTATTAATCATGATTCATCAGTTTTGATCATTCTTGCAGTGATCATCATGAACCGGGTCTGGCTACTCCTCTTCAATTCCCTGTGAGGGATCTTCATCCTCCTCGTGCCGGTCCAGAGCCCTTTCGCAGAGTTCTCGCATCACTTTGGAACATGGCTCCGGGTTGCCCTCACTATCCTGGACAAGCTGCAACCCAGCAGCTGAAATTGCAAGAATCCAGCAGACAGAAATGACAAACAACACTCTCTTCTCTCTACTAGTACTGTAGAGCCTGAAGTTCTATTCCACAAGAGACATGCTTTATGATCATTTATGATGATCTATGCAGGGCTCCCAACTGAATCCTCTGATTGAAACTTGCCGAGCGTCCTTGCGCAAAATATCCATGACAGGCAGCTGGTAGTCCTTCACCTCGCATGGTCGTCCACTTACTGTGAGCCCACAGGTGTGACACGCTCTGCCAAACCATCTCGAAGGTGCGTTGTATTTTGAAAATCCCAATATCTGAACCTACCAAGCCACCATATCCACCATTAAGCTGTCCAACTGAATTTGGATCAATTTTTGGATTTGGGACGGTTTAGACATGGCATTTTCACAGTGACCCAGGTGACCCAGCGCTGTGTCAGCCATGGCTTGGATTTCCCATGATTTCCCGCACCTCTTTGAGGATCTCTTTGACGCTGCCGTCCAGTTTAGGTTTGGTATACGCAGGGATCGACACCTTGGATCCGTAATGCTCCGTACCATGACATCTAAGTTGCTGGCTCAGGGTTTAAGCTCAAATGTCGCATTTGTCTATACCTCCTCCCACCGGCTGAGGATGATATATACTGATGTTAAACGTTGCATGTCGGTTCACCAAGGTGGATCATGAATGTTTTTTTTATATAGAAGCCTGGACAAACATGGACAAACACTGAAAGCATCATAAGCATTTGCAATATTAAAATCATGTTATAGTATAATGTTATATAAATTGATGCAAGAATAATCAAGAATATACATATATATATATATATATAATTATATATATATAAATAATTATATATATATATATGTGTGTGTATGCAGATCGCCTGATCCACTTCCACCCGAACAAGGTTGAACCTCCCACCGGCTGCCATGGCAGCCCTGTGCCACTAATGTGCTGAGTGGCTGTGAAGGTTTCTGGCAGAGGATCCACATCTGGCGCCTTCCCTGTGAGCATTTCCAAGCTTTCGTGCTCCCATTCGCGGCAGCCTTGTCCCTGGCCAGGATATGCCAGGACAACCCACCATGATCCCACCCCGAATCAGGGTGTGGAAACATCCAAAAACCAACAGAAGTTTGGAGAACAAAAGAACGGACAAAGGAGTCCAAAGTGTCGTCCATGGCCCAGAAAATCAAACATCTAAGATCACACAGGTAAGTTTAAAGATTCAGACCTTCAGCAACACTCTGTCACTGGGATTTGCCACGTGTGTCGGTCCCTGCCTTCCAGTTAACCCAGTGTACCTCTCTGCCCAGTAGGTGTGTAACCATCCTGAGGGTCGGGGTATGGTCGGGGTGCCATGCTGTGCCATGCTGTGCCATCCCCGGGCATGTGATGTTCGCTCAGCCGGGCAACTCATCGCAACCTTTCCGGGTCTTGGCCAGGCATCGTTGGATGTGACGCCGCAGTTCTGCTAACCTCAGCCGTTCTGAAGGGTTTGGCTGATTGGATACTGCAAATCTCTCACTTGGGAGACTAAGTTGAGCCATTTATCATTTACTAGTGCAAATCAATTGCACATTGGCAGAAGATGCGGCGGATGGATGGCGCCATCACTGACATTTGCACAAAATAAATTATCATTTTTTGCTGACCATGCCTTCAAGCACCCCAAAAGAGTGAGCATACAGACTCAATAGCGTCAGTTCCGGATCAATAAACCCTGGTTGATTAATGAACGTCTTTCCCCCTATAATAGCAATTTACTATTTAAATGGTACAGTACCACTCCTCCCAATGATCAACAGCCCCATTCAGAACGACAAGCAGCTCTTCTTGCACCTCTTTGGTCCTCGGATGATCAGACTTTGGAACAGTTTGAACAATGCTGCTCTCAACGACCCAAACATCAATTGTGCAATCCCAGTTCTGTGCATTTTATGCATATAATATGTAATATGCAAATAATTATGTCAAATGGTTGGAAATCCTTCTCCCAAATGGCATGGAAAACAGGACATATATACTAGTATCGAAAATAACCAACCAGCTGCAAATGATCAACGATGTCTTTGTGGGAAAGATGTTTCGGAGTCGGTGACTGCTACCACTTGCCTGCCAAAAATGAGACCTACCACCATCACCAACCAATGGAAAAATCTTTGATAATTGGACAAAATCATAAATTCCACTGGTGTTTAAGACCCACTGTTTTTTGTAGTCAAAATGTTCAAATCATCCAAATTCCAATGTTTCGTTGTTAAAATCAAACGCATGCCAAACTCAAATTAGATGTAAATCCAACAAAAACAATACTTGGTCATATTTTGGTCCTTAATCAAGCCTAAATGGTCAACATATGTCAAAATCATGACTGTAAATTGCTATCCTGTGAGCATCGCCATGCATCGCCCCGGCGCCGAGACACTGCGTTGAGATGAGACCCCCCTGGCGGGTGCGGCTCGACACATCTTGCTCCAAGGCTTGGAAAGCTATTAGGACCTGCAGCCAGGCAATCTTCGTGGAAATGATTAACCCTGGTTAGTAAGTCCCGCAACTGGGGTTATCCCATGGCTAACAAAACCCTAGTTACTAACCACTTACTTAATGGGATGATCCTCCAAATACTTTTCCAATGGGAAGAAACCCCCATAAAAACCGTGTAAACAACTCTGGGGGCATGAATTGGCCCACAAATCCGATAATATACATCTATGTGTATTTCAATAAAGGTACATACAGACATAATTACATGCAAACATATACTGTGTGTGTGTACATTCATAGTAATATCATGTAATATCAAATAATGAATGATACCAAAAAAAAACGTGTGTGTGTGTGTGCGCGCTCATATCTATGATTACGTTGTGTGTGTATGTCTTCGCTACTTGATTCACGATTCTCCGATGGCCGTATTTTTCCCACTTTCCAGGTCAGCTTCTTCCGTGCGAATGGAAAAACGGCAACAAGGGAAGCCGCTCTTCCATTGGAGCTGCCGTGTTGGAAGTGGCATCTGGCTCGGCAGGATATCCCATCCTTGCCCTGAACATCCCTGAACAATGGTCAAACTGAACTGTGCAACCTTCACATGGTTTGACCGGATTCGGTTGACTTCGTTGCCCCTTGCATGCCATTCTGATGGCAAATTCTGGGCAACTCCTGAACAAATCTTCAAGAGAAGCTTTAAGAGAAGCTTGTAGCAAGGCCTTGCAAACATCTCTACAAATGGCTCATCCAGCCGTCTGCATGGCATGCTACCTGTACCATCTAAAAATTGCATACCTGGAGGATCGTCTTTCACGGCCGGAAGTGGATGCAGTGATTTATTCAATTATGCAATGCGAAAGATTCAATTATGACAAAGTTACCAAGAGTCGAGAAACTGCTCCTGAGAGGTCCCAAAAGTAGGTAGCAACTACTGACCCTGATGCAGTTCTTCAGACTTTTAATGAACACGTCCCGTAGCCTTTGGATTTGGGGTTGTGAGCCATGATGCATAGTTCCCGAAAGCTCCGGTTTTTCCTTTCACAAGATCTGATTTAAGCTGAAGCCCACTGAAGCCCCCCAAAAAAAACAAAACACAATACAGGTACTCCTTGCGTGACTAAGCTGGGCACATGGGCGCTACAGGCTACTGCATCAGCCTTTGAAGCACCAGTTGGTGCATTCAAGGGAATGTACACCCGTTTTGGCAACTGATGACAACTTGAATCAGGATGGACTTCGGCTTTCCTGGCCTGCTGTACAAGTGCGACCCTCCAAGGCGTTGCAGTGACCGATCTAACAAAGTCGTAAAGTCTCACTACTATAGGACAAGGTTTCCTCTAGCGTGCGGAGCGAAATGAAACGCACTCGAACACGCGCTGCACAGGCGTGGGGTTGGAAACTCAGCGATCCCACCTTACTGCGGCCATGACCTTGCGCCGATGCTTTTGCCTCAGGATGGACGCCAAGCCACATGGTGTGGGAAGATGCAGGAATGCTTGTCTGGCCTACTTTTCGGATGGTGGGGCTGCCAGCAACATCCTGAGATATCTTGACAAATTCATAAGAAAAACAAGACCATGTAAAACTTCCGCATGTTGATCAAAGTTGCTTCTCCTGCAGGTACTGCCCGCCGGGAGACCTGCCTGTGGCGGGTGTGCTAACCAGTAGTCAAACCACAGGGATCATCCACAACATCAGCAAATGCCAAGTAGAAATTAGCAAACACAAAGCATTTTGATGCAGTTTGTTGGTTTCTTGGGGGGTTATATGGGATTATCATGGATTATTACGTATCATCACCAGCCCATTGGTCCAAACCTTTCCAACTTCAGCTGCTTGTTTTACAGCCTCCTGCAGCTCCAGGAAGGTGTTTCGGACCACGAGTTTCGTGGCATCGCTCTCGGCGTTGTCATTGGTCGTCACCGCATCTGACGGAGGTAGAAGCCACTCCGGCCGCGTGGACAAGAAATGGGGTCGAATCGAGTCCGTCCAACTTGGCGCAGAGGCCCTCGGCCAGGGAGAAATTAAATGAAATTAACACACAGCGTGAGATCTGAATGATTTTGCGCTTAATATTTATATTTCCACATATCGCGCGCGCGTGTGTGTGTGTGTGTGCGTGCGTGTGTGTTTGTTTGTGTTTGTGTTTGTGTTTGTGTTTGTGTGTGTGTGTGCGCGCGCTCATGTGCCTGTGGAAGTGTATCTTTCAGAATTGATGCATAACGGATCGTGCAGCTGCTTTAGTGTGGCAATTTGTGGCATAATTCTATGGATATGATCAAATCGGTGGTTGGACGAAGGCCGCAAACTGACTGGTTTAGCATGTTACAGGCTTCCCTACCAGTACTGTTTGGATGAAATCACGCGAAAAGCAAGAAGTCAATACGCTATGCCGGTATACCAAAACCAAACCAGCGTCTCCAAGAAACGCAATTTTTGTAGGCGAGGTTCCCTTCATTGGCCCGGCGATAAGCGGCCTTCTGCTTACCAAAGGCTGGAGCAAAGACATCTCTCAGTTTCTCCCATTCCTGACGGGAGACCACACACTGGTAGGGCACCAGCACCCTGCCATCCAAGGTTTCGTAAAATTTCCTTAGATGTTGGTGCAGCACAACAAAGCATGACCAATCCGCCGAAATAATCTCGTACATGACTAGGCAATACAGTAATACTTCTGTATGTATGTGTAAATGTATGTTTTTGGTGTCACGTACTCTCGGTACCCGGCAACGCTGCACGTTTTTGATTGAACGTTGATGATATGTTGATGCTACGGTGAGGGTGGGGTGGGGTGGGGTGGGGGGGTGCAATGATGCTAGGTTGAGGTTACGTTCATGATAGGTTGTGGTTATTCGACGTTCTTCTTGCACTTGCTTACGCACGTCATGCTACGTTGGGGTGGATGGGGTGGGGTGGGGTGGGGTGGCTAATAACGTTCAAGTATACTTCCACACACACGTCATGCTACGCTACTGCACGTTCTTCTTGCACTTGCACACACACGTCATGCTACGCTACTGCACGTTCTTCTTACACTTGCACACACACGTCATGCTACGCTACTGCACGTTCGTCAGACTTCGTGGGCAAGTCGACTGCGATGGCAGCTCTGTGCGATCCATTAGGATTGGACCCAAATCCCATGCCTTTTCTTCTTTGATTCAACAATGGAAAAGAGATCACCCACAGAAGAAAATGCCGAAATCTTTCCTGCTTTACATCAGGGTGCTCGGTGTGGTGCAGAGAAGTGATGGTCCCTAGGATCTGCTTGATCAAAACGACGTGTATTACTTTATAGAAGACGACGGTTCACATCTAAATCAATTTCATGATTGCCCTTCCTGGTCCCCACCAATATTTTTTAAAATTCCAGCTCTGCAATCCATGTCAGGAAAGTTATTGGTGGCTCCAGAAGATTTGACTCTAGTCGGCGGCAATGGAAAGCCTCCAACGGAGTCCTCCACAGAGATCGTCTCTTCTGGTCTTCTTGGCCGCTGCAACAAAAATTCCATTCTCTACACTGATGGGTGTCAAGGTTGGCGAAAAGCTTCGAAGACTTCGTACAGATGGAAACGATTCAGTGTCCGCTCAGTTGTCCATAAAAAGTCCGAATGGACAAAGAAATGCAAAGTCAAAGGCAAAGCCAAATGGGCTGGCACACAAGTCCTAGATAGGTCTTGGATGTGGCTGAAAAAAATTGTGCCGCATTGCTTGAAAAGCAGAAATGACAAAGTCATTAATCCCCGCTTGTGGGAATACACATACCAGTTCGTCTACCGACATAACAAGAAGGACTAGACCGCCACGCTGCTCTGGATGAAAAACAAGTTTTGCGTCCTTTTGCACTTCGGGACCTTGAATGATGATACGCACAAAACACTGCAAATACCAAGTCAAATTGATCGATTTTACCCGGGTACTGAGGAGGCGTGTTACCATGTTTTTATGTTTGTGTATGCATATGTATGTATAAGGATGTATATGCATGTGTGCATATGGACGTATATGCATGTGTGTATATGGATATATATATATATAAATGTACGCATATGGATGTATATGCATGTATGTATGTGAATGTATATTCATGTATGTATCTGCATGTATGTATCTGCATATGTGTATGCAGGCATATGTATGCATATCTGTATGTAGATGTATGTAGATGTTTGTAAATGTACGTAGATGTATGCATATAAAAGTAAACGCATGTAGATGTATGTATATGTATGTATATGCAAATGTATATGTAAATGAACTGTGTATTGTGTATTGTGTGTTATGTATTATGTATTATGTATACGTATATGTAAAGGTATTGTGTATTACGTATTATGTATATTATGTATATTATGTATATTATGTATATTATGTATATTATGTATATTATGTATATTATGTATATTATGTATATTATGTATATTATGTGTATTATGTGTATTATGTATATATTATGTATATTATGTATATTATGTATATATATTATATTATGTATATTATGTATATATTATGTATATTATGTATATTATGTATATTATGTATATTATGTATATTATGTATATTATGTATATTATGTATATTATGTATATTATGTATTATGTATTATGGTGTATTATGTATGATGTATTATGTATTAAGTAGTATTGTGTATTATGTATTATGTACTGTACTATGTACTGTGCATGTAAATATATATATATGTACGTACATGGTTGTGTATATGTATATGCATATGTATATGCATATGCATATGTATATGTATGTGTATGTATATGTATGTATATGTGTGTGTGTCTATGTATGTATATGTCTGTGTGTATGTTTGTAAGTATGCATTTATGTTTGTATGTTTGTATGTTTGTATGTGTGTATGTGTGTATGTGTGCATGTGTGTATGTATGTGTATGCATGAAAGTATATGTATGTATATGTATTTATATGTATGTATATGTATATGTATGTATATGTATATGTATGTATATGTATGTATATATATATATGCATGTATTTGGGTGCATTTGTATGTATATGCATGTATAAGGATGTATGTGTATGTATCTGTATCTATGTGTATGTATCTGTATGTATATGTATGTATGCATATGCATATGTATGCATATCCATGCATATGGATGTACATGTATGTTTTTGATTGTTTTTGAATGTAGATGTATGTAAATGTATGCATGTGTATGTATATGTATGTTTACGCATGTATATGTATGTAGATGTATGGATGTGTATGTGTATGTGTATGTGTATGTGTATGTATGCTTGTATGTTTGTATGTTTGTATGTATGTCTGAATGTCTGTATGTATCTGTGTATGTCTGTATGAATAACTGAATGAATAAATGAATGTATGTATGCATGTATGTGTATGTATGTACATGCATGTATATGTATGTATATGTATGTATATTTATGTATATGCATGTATATGCATGTATATGCGTGTATATGTATGTATCTGTATGTATGTGTATGTATATGTATGTGTATGTGTGTGTATGTATGTGTATGTATGCGTGTGTCTATGTATGTCACGTCTATGTATGTCTATGTATGAGTCTGTATGTCTATGTACGTCTATGTATGTCTATGTATGTCTCTGTATGTCTATGTATGTATATGCACGTCTATGTATGTCTATGTATGTCTATGTATGTCTTTGTTTGTCTATGTATGTCTATGTATGTCTATGTTTGTCTATGATCGTCTACGTATGTCTGCGTACGTCTATGTATGTCTATGTATGTCTATGTATGTCTATGTATGTGTATGTATGTCTATTTATATCTATATATGTCTATGTATGTCTTTCTATGTCTATGTATGTCTATGTATGTCTATTTATGTCTATGTATATGTATATCTATGTATGTATGTATGCATGCATGTATGTATGTAATTTGTTGTATGTATGTCTGTGTGTATGTCTGTATGTATGTCTGTAATTATGTCTGTATGTATGTCTGTAAGTATGTCCGTATGTATGTCATGTATGTCCGTGTATGTCCGTGTATGTGCGTATGTGTGTATGAATAAATGTATGTATGCGTACATGTATTTATGTATGAATGCATGCATGTATCTATGTATCTATGTATCTATGTATCTGTGTATCTGTGTATCTATGTACCCATATGGTATGGATATCTATGTTTGTATGTGTATGTATGTCTGTGCATGCATGTATGCATGCATGTATGCATGCATGCATGTATCTATGCATCTGTGTATTTAATTGTAATTATTTATGTATCTATGTATGCATGCATGTATGCATGTATGCATGCATGAATGTATTTATGTATGTATGAATATACAATTGTATACTGCTGATGTGGGCGCAATGCATGTGTGAAATCCACTCAATTCATCTCAATTCTGTTTGAACTTTCGTTTGTTGCTCTTAGCAAGTGTCACCATGTACGAAATTCCCGCTGTCATGCTGCTGACACAAAGACATCCACCTAGCAGGGCTTCAAGCAGAATGGACTGGTTGTGACCAAGTTGCAGGGGGTGCCCGAGCTTTTCCATGAAGACATGCATGTACCTCGGCAAAACCAAAGGGGAGATCTGGGTTCGACAAGCTCACACACGGGTTCAACTGATTCAACTGCCGTTGTTTAATCGCTAAGGCCGCTAAGAAGGCATCATCACTGCCAAGCCAAGCCACTGTGCGAAGCGGAACTGCCGACTCTCGGACTGGAAGCGTGTCCAAGAAGAGAGCCCTGAATCCTGCAGCCAACTTCTGAACTTATGCCATCTTATATCATGAATGACTGCTGGACGCCACGGCCAACGTCCTGGGATCTAAGCACCAAAAACCTTATCTGGCAACCCCAAAACCATAAACCGTCGACTTGCCAGAACCGGGTGGAACTGAATGAAACATAATGACATGACGCCCCCAAAATCCAGTGCCGCTCCTGGCCAAATGTGATGGTCACCACATCGTTTCCGACACCCTTGTGTGGCACCAGTGGTGCTCCACGGTTGTAGTTTCCTGGCCGATGCGGCACAGGGACCGGGATGCACTGAGATGCATTGGGTCTCAGGTTAAAGGGCTTCAAGGTGTCCAAGCTATGCTCCAAGGGTCTCAAAGACAGCACGACGTAGGCGTGCATGTCAAGCTCGCGCCTTAGAGTGGCTGAGCCAACCATTGGTAATCAAACATGGCTGGCTGGAATTCCCCATGTTTTGGATTTTTTGTGGGAGATCAGAGATCATGTGCAAGTAATTAGATAAGGATTAGGGACGGTCGGACGGATAGAATTGATGATTTCCCATGATTTGGGGACAGGGCATGCCTCCCACTGGACCTCGGGTATTGATGCCGGAGGCGCAAGACTGGCAGACCGGGGCGATTGAGAAAGTCGCAAGCAGCTTGGCGCACTAGATCCTTGCATGTGCCAACACTTCCTTTCAACTGCAGACCTTCTCCATCTGACAGCCATCCAGGATCATCCAGGACGAAACCTTCAACAAAAATCTTTTGAAACTCTTTTTGAAGCCAAGTGCTACCCTCCTGCAGCATGCAGCGGCCACATGTGGTCACCAACTTCGAGGGAACAGCCACAATCATATCAAATCGCTGTTAGGCTGGCCCCATCATCTCAGCACGTCCCTACCATTCCCACTTGTCTGCCGAGGCGCGAGCATCATGGGGAAGAATGGAGCAGCCCATGCTCCCGGTAGGTTATTTCCAATCTGCGCGGGAAATGTGATAATCACGCGGAAGCACTTCCATGGACCTGTGCAAAGTCCGGCGCGTGAAGAACCACCCGGGTGGTAAAACCTAGGAGATATGGTGTAGGTTCTAAGTGAAGATGGAAATGGGGTATGGTTTACAATGGGCCTTTCGGACCCTTTCGGGGCCCTTTGGTTTAGGCCCTTCAATGAATGCCAAGGCCTAAAATGATGCAGATAATTTCAAATAGAAAACCAAAGTCAAGCTGATCTGTTCGACAGAGATCAGCAACAAACCGCGACAGGTCCAGCGGCCTTCCCTGCGACAAATCAACATGCACTCCTGTGTCGCGGTGAGGCTATGATATCCCAGGTGCTGAGTGGCAACGTAAGAGAATAGTGTCATGTGCCGGGGCCCATCAGCCCCCTCTGAGATAGTTTATACATGTTTATACAATATATATATATATACATACATGCACATATATCATATAAAATAATAAATATTATAACATAATTAAAAAAAATATGATATGATATAAGATAAGATAACATAATATAATATAATAAAATATAATATAATATATAATGTAATGTAATAAAATATATTATAATATAATATAATAAAATAAAATATAATATAAGATAATATAAGATAAGATAATATAAGATAATATAATATATAATATATAATATATAATATATAATATATAATATATAATATATAATATATAATATATAATATATAATATATAATATAATATATAATATATAATATATAATATAATATATAATATATAATATATAATATATAATATATAATATATAATATAGTATAATATAGTATAATATAGTATAATATAGTATAATATAGCATCGTATAATACAATATAATATAATAAAATATATAGTTATATCTGTTTATATATATATATACATATATATAGAGAGAGAGACGCAGTATACATAGTATATCAAATAGATATAGATAGATTATCTGTGTACATCCTAACCCTCAACTACAGCCGTCCGCAGGTCCTGGCTGGTTTCAGCGTGAAACTCTCCGCAGGTACAGTCCCCTGGCAATGGAAAATTCCTTCGCAGTTGATGTCGTGCGATGTTCCGGTGGTCTCTGGACGTGCTCCTCAGCTGGCAAATTCAGGGGCCTCGCTGAGGAGTCTTGATGATTGCTTTCGTATGCACCGGTCACCGGCGATGCGTCGAAGTATATTATATTATATTAATTTACATTCTATTATATTATATTATATTAAATTCTATTATATTTTATTATATTATATTATATTTTATTTTATTATATATATAGATATATATTATATATATAATAAATAATATTATATTATATATATTAAAAAATTATATATAATATATAATAATACATAAAATATCTCATAATATATATAATATATAATTATATAAATATAATTATATATATAATATAATATATAATAATATATATAATAAATACTTATATATAATATATAATAATATATATATAATTATATATAATATATATAATTATAAATAATATATATATATAACAATATATATATGTTATACACATCTCGTACGCTATATAACAATATGAGTGCGCAGGGGTTAAGGCTCAGCATTAAGGCTCAGCATCTAATTTCTCAGTTTCTAGATGCTTCTAGGTCTATAACACAAATGTTCTGATCTTCTTAATATACCCGTACGAAAGTGTAAAAATCACAAGTTGCGCCTTTCACATGTTCGAACCCAAGCAGGCGCGAACATGTTGCAGTAGCGGGCTTCAGCTGGAAGAGGTCCAGCTGTGTACATCAAGTTTCTCTGCGGGTCTGGCGAAACATCAACCTATGACGTTTTGCTTTGCGATGCTGAGCTGATGTCAAGATTGTCAAGGAACAAAACGCTAGTCAGCCTAAGCCTGATCGATCGATATTATCATCGAAGGAACTTTAGTTAGCAAACTCCCGAGTTACGGACGAATGTCCATGGTTAGTTCTCACATCATCATGTCAGCCACAGAGGTAGCAACACTAGCTGGGAAGCGGCATCATGGCAATAGTCCAGGATCATGTGATATCATGTGCATGTGCGGGTCAAAAGTGACGTGCGCGAATCACTGTGTTTTTACATGCTTTTACAATTCTTTACAGGTATGGTGGTAGCCCAGAGACCCCGGCGGTTGGGGCCTTGATCTTGCAAAGCTGTCAGAAAAAAAGGTGCACGAGACTGTGCTATTCGTGCTATGCGGGACTGCAGCTGCAGGTTGGTCAACGCATCGCAATGGCTGCGCAAAGAGAAAAATTGAGTTGCAGACAGGGGAGTGATTAACTGAGAAGCTGTAACTTAGAGAGGGAGGTAGTTCAGAGAAGAAACGAAACAAGTAGTCAAGAAGTAGTCCAGATTAGAGGCAGCTCAGAAAAGAAGCCGAGAGAAGACGTACCTCATAGAAGAGGTGGCTAAGCAAAGAGGTGGCTCATTTAAGAAGTAGCTCAATGAAGGTCATTTAGAAAAGACTTTGTCCTAGGGAATGTCTAGCTCAAGGAAGGAGTAGCTCATTCACGCATTCAGTCAATCAAACATGCAGTCATCCATTCGCTCAATCACTGGCTCATTCATTCTAACAATTATTGATTCATTTAGTCACTAAGCCAGTCGCTCACCCACTCACTCTTTCAAACACTCACTCATTCATTGATTCATTGACTCATTCGCTCATTCAGTCATTCATTCATTCCTTCATTCAACCATTCATTCATTCATTCATTCATTCATTCATTTCATTCATTCATTCCATTCCATTCCATTCCATTCCATTCCATTCCATTCATTCATTCATTCATTCATTCCATTCCATTCCATTCCATTTCATTCCATTCCATTCCATTCCATTCCATTCATTCATTCATTCATTCATTCATTTCATTCATTCCATTCATTTATTCATTCATTCATTCATTCATTCGTGCATCTATTCATTAATTTCATTTTATTTCATTCATTCATTCATTCACTCATCCATTGATCCACCTGTCCGTCCGTCCATCCATCCATCATTTTTCAGTTCAGTTCAGTTCAGTTGATTTCATTCATTCAGCCATTCATTTCATTTCATTTCATTTCAGTTCAGTTCAGTTCAGTTCAATTCCTTCATTGATTCATTTTATTAATGTAATCCATTTCATTCATTTCTTTCAGTTCATTCAGTGCATTCATTTAATTCATTTCGTTCGTTTCATTCGTTTCATTAATTTCATTCATTTGAATCATTTCATCCATTTCATTCATTTCATCCATTTCATCCATTTCATTCATTTCATTCAATCAATTCATTCATTTCATCTCATGTCATGTCATGTACTCATTCATTCATTCATTCATTCCTTCATTCATTCATTCATTCATTAATTCATTCATTCATTCATCCATCCATCCACCCATCCATCCATTCATTCATTCATTTCATTATTTCATTTTTTCATTCATTCATTCGTTCGTTCATTCGTTCGTTCGTTCATTCATTAACTCCATTCATTCAATCATTCATTCATTCATTCATTTCATTCATTTCATTCATTTCATTCATTTCATTTCATTTCATTTCATTTCATTCATTCATTCATGTCATTCATTCATTCATTCATTCATTCATTCTTTCTTTCTTTCTTTCTTTCATTTCATTCATTTCATTCATTTCATTCATTTCATTCGTTTCATTTATTTCATTCATTCATTCAGTTCAGTTCATTCCATTCCATTCCATTTCATTTCATTTCACTTCATTTCATTTCATTTCATTCATTCATTCATTCATTCATTCATTATTTCATTCATTCATTTATTTCATTCATTCATTCATTCATTCATTCATTCATTGATGTCATTCATTTATTTCATTCATTTATTTCATTCATTCATTCATTCATTCATTCATTCATTCATGTCATTCATTTATTTCATTCATTCATTCATTCGTTCGTTCGTTCGTTCGTTCATTTCATTTATTTCATTTATTCATTTCATTTCATTTCAGTTCAGTTCAGTTCATTTCATTCATTCATTCATTTCATTCAATCCATTCCATTCCATTCCATTCCATTCCATTCATTCATTCATTCATTTCATTTCATTCAATCATTCATTCATTTCATTCATTCATCCATTCATTCATTCATCCATTCCATTCCATTCCATTCCATTCATTCATTCATTCATTCATTCATTCTTTCTTTCATTTCATTCATTTCATTCATTTCATTCATTTCATTCATTTCATTCGTTTCATTTATTTCATTCATTCATTCAGTTCAGTTCATTTCATTCCATTCCATTCCATTTCATTTCACTTCATTTCATTTCATTTCATTCATTCATTCATTCATTCATTCATTCATTTCATTCATTCATTCATTCCATTCCATTCCATTCCATTCCATTCCATTCCATTCATTCATTCATTCATTCATTCATTATTTCATTTCATTCATTCATTCATTCATGTATTCATGTCATTCATGTCATTCATGTCATTCATGTCATTCATGTCATTCATGTCATTCATCCATCCATCCATCCATTCATTCATTTCATTCGTTCTTCCATTCATTCATTTCATGTCATGTCAGGTCATTTGATTTCATTTCATGTCATGTCATTTGATTTCATTTCATGTCATGCATTTATTCAGTCATTCATTCATTCAGTTCAGTTCAGTTCAGTTCAGTTCAGTTCATTTCATTCATTCATTCAATTCAATTAAATTCAATTCGCTACAATTCACTATATACATTCATTCAGTCATTCATTGATTCATTTCCGTGCGTTCATTTCTACTCAAGCATTTCCATGCGTTATTTGTGATTCGTTCATGTCCATTCATGTATTCATATGTATTCATCCATTCATTCAGACTTTTCCTTCCTTCCTTCTTTCCTTCCTTCATATTCATTATGCATCATTTTTGCATCTCATCGCCTCACCTGCATTGGCATCTCAACAATCATTTCAAATCATTGCTTATGCAGCTCACAAATGTTCGTATAGGTCATTGATGTCTTATACTCATTGTTCTTGTTCAAAACTTCTGCCCCGGTACGGCCGGGCACTTCTGTTACAGCAATTATGAGTATGACTCATTCATCCTGATGGGCCGATCAGATTTTTCTATATAAGGCAATTCCGTTTGGCATCGACAAGCCATGCACCGGGCTTCGGGAACGGACCCTCGGAGTTGCCAAAAAGCACCGTTGCCAACATACGCACCAACCACGCTGAAAGGGGCTGGTGTTCCACTAGCCTCGGCCGTTGCCAGCGGAGGTCCCAATGATGGGAACACTGATTTAGGACCCGGCGCGCAAGTGGGAGATTAAGGCTGAGATTTTGAAGCAGATTTTCCAGGTGAAGTTTGTTGCAACAAAAATCACTCCATCTGCCCCCTTTTTTCCCTTCAGCGTCTCCGAGGAAGACACTCCCCCAACTCCAAGAGTCAGCTGGGCAGCGCATCTCCCGGTGCCAAAATCTCTAACAAGGTGACTTTGGACGCACTGGGTGCCACGTGAAAATTTCTTCCGCGCACTTCTGGGCGTGTGAGAAGATCTGCTGGATCTTCCTGAGGTGAGAAAACATGAGTCATCAAGCGCGCCCTTCAAGCAAGAATTTTCTGGTGAGCTTTCACAAAAGACCAATGAGAATCAACCTGCAAGAATCACTTCAGGAGGTGTCTCTGTGGCCTCTGAGAATGACATCAGGTCCATTGAAACTTCCCGAACTCACAACAGCCCCAAATCTTGCCAAGCAAATGGATGCTGTCAGGAGCTTCTGGGATCCAGATGTTCCTTGGTTGCCCATGAGAGCCCACATGGATTCTCTGGAAAGGGCCCCAAAGATCCCAAAGCTTGGTGCTTCGGATTGCTTCGGGTCAGATTCAGACTGGTAGATCCAAAATGTCGCAGCGCTAGTGGCTAACCTTCAGACCGGGTTCCGGAAGTCGAATTTCATCAAGGTCACCCAGGGCATGATGTGATGAGACAACGAGGCATCTGCCTGTGATGCGTCTAACCTTAGACAATAGAATGGAGAAAAGATCAAGAAGTTGACATTGAAATGCAATCAGAACAAAAAGTGCAGAAATGTCATTCCAAGGTCGTTGATCGATATTTTAATTAGCATCCACTGTGACAGGCCCCCTATGCACCGTAGCTACCTCGCCTGTGGCTCACCAAGTTGCAAACGACCCAGTGCAACTCGGCAGCTTCCACTCCGGAGCGTCCCTCATGCACAAGGCTGCCAGATTGAACCATGACTCCATTCCTTAGCTCCAAAAATCTCCAAAATATTCCACAGTGACCATGAAACGCCAGAGATCAACTCAGCCATGGGTTCTTCTGACAGGGGCATCTGGCAGTTAGCAACTCCACTCACCCCCTGCTCATGTGGAATTGTCTGAAAACATAGTACCCAAGAATCCCGTTGCTGACCATCACCTATGAAAATCACAAATTTGGGGTACCCCCTTTCTTTGGACAAACCTGCATCATAGACAGCAAGTTGTACATCCCATTATATCACCATTGATCGCTCATGCGATCCCATTATATTATATCCCAATGATATCCTCATTGTGGGAGGCTTAATCCCCAGGACCTAATAAAAATGGTAACCACAAAATAAACAGGCACATTTAATCACATTTATATAATTGGGCAGGTGCCATTTTTAAGAATGGTCGTCACTATTTTGGGGCTCACCCGCGAATTTGAATCAACCGGGACTTAAAACAATTCGGGCTTGACCCAAAAAAATCCAAAAAATACTTCCTATCCCAATGATATCGCTATGACATCCCCGGCTTTATAGCCCCATTTTCCGTGGCCAGCTTGGCGCCCGTTGGCGCCCAAGATTCTCTCAGGGTCTATTGCCATGCGCGCCCCGGCGCTCCGCTCACTGAAACCCGTCTCAGGATGCTGAGCCGATGCGGCCGATGCAGCCATGTCGGAGATAAGTAGAGATGGAGATCTGAGATAGAGATAGGATGAGGTGAAATGAGAAAATGATAGAAAATGATGGAAAATGATAGAAAATGATAGAAAATGTCGATATGACATGACAAAAATCTCCATCAAGCCTTTTTGCCCCACATCTGTGCGTGTGTGTGTGTGTGTCACACATCTTTCTACATTTGCTTGCTCCAGTTGTTTGGCAAAGATCAGTGGTGCTGGGAGCCTGGGTCAGGAACTGGATGCGGAAGTTGGGGTCATCCATCTGCACCTTGCAGGTGAAAGGCATTGCATTACATTATTTATATCGAAAGAGGACTCAGTAGGGACATCTGTGATCATGTGTGAGTGTGTGCGTGTACGGACTCCATTGAGCACGATGCCATTGAGCCACCATTGCCAAGCAGCAAAACAAAACGCAGGACTTGATCAACATCGACCAAGCTGCTCGGAAAGCACGGGCTCGTGGCACTTGCCGTGGAGGCAGTGACTCAGGGGATTGTGCTGGTTCGCGTTGTGCGGCTGAAGCTGGGTATTTCCTGAGGGATGGGGAGGCATCATGTTCCCAAACCACCTGAGCCGCGCCAAAAACCTATCTCCTTTGCCATGTCGCTTGGATATGCTTACGCTGGGGCTTGCGCACTGCTTACGCGCACACAGTGTTATCTTACGCGACAACAATGAGAAAAAACTAGCTTACGCGGAGCTTACGCACTGGGAAATCTCGAAAAAATGATACCTCACCACAGGTTTTGCTTACGCCACCGCTTGTTTTCACCGTCAAATATGTTTGCAGCATCAGCGTTGTGAGGATGAAGAAGAGCTAGAGGTCGAAGAAGAGGAAGAAGAGCTACGCGCATTCCCAGAAGGTCTTCCCAGAAGTAGGGAAATCATCCACAAGATTTGTACGAATACTACCCAAGGAGGCAACGAGTTGAGCAACGAACTGGGTCTGCAAAGTTGAGATTGGTAGCCAAGAGGAACACTTCTTGAAGACTTTGTCCATGAGCATGGTTGCATCAGCGACAGAGGGGCAATGTGCTTCGAAAATTTCAAAAACAGTTCCAACGACGCGGTTTCTTTGGCGCCATTGCAGGTCCGAAAAGGCTTTTGTTTGCGCGGGCATGTGGGCTACTACTCAAAAAGTCAAGTTCAGCTTACGCGGAGCTTACGCGGAGCTTACGCGGAATTTGGCCATAGTGGTGGGGAATTATAACCAAAAAAATAGAACGATTAAGAAAACACACAAGAAAACCATAGTTGAGGGAACCACTGGTCGGTTTCAACTCATGAAATGGTCTCATCAATACTACAAATATTTCGCAGCTTCAGTGGAATACCCTCTATCCACTGTAATATCATATGCTAACTCCCCTACATCTCAGAATCCCCACGTCAAGCCAAACCAGAACTTGAATACATCTCTTACTTTGATTTGCACATGCCACACATGTGCTTACGCACAGTGCTTACGCAGCACATTCTTGACAAAACCCCTTACGCCACCTTGCGCCAACCAGGGTTTTGCTTACGCCAAATGCTCATATGACAAGGCCCTAATTAAAACAATTCAAAACGGTTTTTGGGGTCTCACCTGGGGATACATCAAAGTTTCAAACATCGATAGCCTGTGGCCTGACATGCCAGGAGAGGTTAGCGGGTCATCACTCCATATTTTGGTGATACCCCAAAGCTTGACCCATATCCATCAAGCAGGCGTGCCACATGTGCCACCTTTGACCCCCCCCCTTGTTGACAGTTGAGGCCCAGTTGCGAGAACTGGTTCAGAAGCCCGGTCAGGGTGCCCTGAGTCGCTGAATGAGCACCGAAGAATTCCTTCCCTATTTTCGAGCTAAGGGAACCCATGGAATGGAGGTATTCCTGATTGGAAAGATCTGGCAAGACTCAACAACCATACGACATTGGGAGCCATAAACACTCCGGCTGAGACACTGAGAAACGTATGACCTGTCCTGTGGCAACCCCTGTGGTCGTGGCATCTTAGAAATGATTTTGGAGCCAGGACGCATGGAATTGCTTCCAATTTTCAGGTTTCTCGAACAACTTCTCCACCACTTGCAGCCACTCCTGAAGAGACCAAAAGCCTCGGGGCACTGCCGTGTGAGAGCACACCATGAACCTTCAAACATGGCTCCACAAGCAAGATGATATGATAGCTCACATTATTTTTTGGGCTTATAATATATATATATATAGGTCCTATAGTGATGGCAGGACTGAAAATGCAAAGTCTCCAAAAGGACTCACCCCCTTGCCCATGACATGCCCATGACATGCTAGTTCCTTCATGACATTTCCGCGCATGGCAACCAGGACGTTGGATGAAGCCCTTAGCTCTAACGTGAGCCAAGTTGCTCTTGTAGGTCTCAAAATTGATGGCGGGATCATGGCCCAAACTGGCTGGCTCCTCTACACATTGGTTCGGTCAGGCAGGGGGCGATTTTACCTCCACCACAATCCATGTGCAGATCGTGCAGCAACAAGCACTTTACGCTTGGTGGATGAAATCCTTGCGCAACATACATCTGGACACGCTGACCGGATGGCTCTGAAAGCTTCACCCCTTGAATTCCGATTCAACGCCCAACTTTTTTTTGAGAAACGTACATCTCCTCGAACGCAAAGGGAACTATACTGAGTGAACCCTCGCCTTAACCTTAAATTAAAGTTAGCAAATTCCCCCCTTCCAAATGCTAACCTACTCCATTTGATCCGCAAGTGAGGGAGAGTGACCATCTGACACTCAGCTCCCACACCTCCGTGGACCCAGCAGTGACCTTGAGACCATGAACAAACTCAGCATATTTGAATCATTTTGAATCTACCTGGGACGTGACAAACTACAAACAATATGCATTCAAGTTGGTTAATCCATGTTAATCCCTTAAGTTCTCTTTTTATTCTACCAGAAATGGACGGGCTAGAATCATCCCCGCTTGGAGGTTTATGATTGGGTGTTCCAGGTCACTACAGGTTTGTCAAAAAAAAATACCCAACACAAAAAAGTACCAAATGAGTTTCCCTCTGAAATTGCAATGATCCCATATGTATCGATTTGGGTACAGGGCACCGGTGGGGCCCACAAATTTTGGGAGTGTTGGGCATTAAACACTTGAAGCATTCAAGAAAAAACCATCCAGATGTGTTCAGTTTGTGTGTCCATTACTTTTCTGATCCATCCCCAAACGTCTCAGCGGACTCTCAGTGTGGACTCTCACGTCACCATCCTGGGCTTCCTGCATCATTTTCCTTGCCAAGATGTGAGTCATGGCATGTCATGGCGAACGCGTGGGTAAAAGAATGCTCATTGAATACCCCAAAGTGAGTACCCAAAACATGCAATGCACAATTGCAAACGAAGTTGTAGTGCTGGGTGTACTATAGGTGGTCCTGAACAGTCACCCACCAAAACGCTGCACGACAGTCAAGGGAGATGTGTAGAAAGGAGGTGGAAATGGAAGAACTGTGAATGTAGCCACAGCTTAAGCCTTAAGAACCCATGGAAGTTCATGAAACTCCCAGTTGGCTAAAGCGGCTAAAGTATCTAAAGTGTGGATCCTCCGGGGAGTACCCTGCACATCCCTGCACCGTGTGGATTTGCCTGTGGGATCGTCTGCGCATCTTTCCCATCTAGTGAGTAGCGCAGCACCTGTCCAAAAGAGATAAGAGAATAGCGCAAGGTGGATGCAGCTGGTAAATGCAACTCTTTTGGCATGATATGACTGATATGACATACATAGCTGGTGCAAACAAAATCTTGGCATCGGCCCATTGAGCCTGGGTGTCATCCAAGTCATCCAGTGCAAACTGAGCGGGGTGGCGGCCACTCGGGGATACGGCCAAAGGCTGGCACAAAGATGATGGGCATAACTTTTTCTAGCAGAGATACAGTACTTTGGGATACTTTGGGACTTTCCCGAATATCTGGGATACATGTGGATACATGAGCACTGCATGAATCTGAACTGCAGGCATCACCCTCCCCAACCACCGGCAGTCAGGAGAAGCGCATCTCAAGGTGCCAGGAAACAAAGTCCTGCGTTCGCACTTTCCTTGCCAGGGCTATCACTAGGAGGCTTGGGGAGTGATGTTCTCAACTGGCCCATGACTGCTCACAGCATCACAAGATATTACAAGATATTACAAGCATCAATTTTTTATCAAATCTTGAGCCCAGCAGCTGATTGTTTGCAATAGCTTTATGGTCCAGCGCCAGCAGCCTTTCTAACAGCAGTGAGATCCTGGTGCGCAACCTCGAGTTGAAGGAGCCTGCACCGAGGCGGCCCCATGGACCGTATGGGTTTTGTGTCATATGTTGGTTCAAGCCACCCACCTGAGCCTCACGAAATAGAAACCTAGGGAAAACTACAGAAAACTGAAAACTAAAAAAAAACGTGGGAATTGCTGCTTGGTCTGAACAGTTTGTACTAAGAAGGCGCCAAGTGAAAAGCACTGCTTCAATCATCACAGCTGGACAATCAACCGATACGGCAGTATCCATTTTGAAACCAATGCTACTTAGACTTCAAACAGCAGGCCCCTTATCCGAGAACCGCCCCTTCAAACCCTCTTCAACTCAGTCTGGTTAAATTTTTCATAGCCCAATCATAGCCAACAAAAGGTTCGAAAATCAAGCGCATGTTTCTTTTGATTTGATAAGGTGATAATTGGCCAAAAAAGTTATCAAATGAAAACACCTAGATATTCTATAAGTGGGTTCCAGGACAGCTTGCCAACCAATCGTTCTTGTATTGCAACTGGCTACGCCAGGTCCTAGGTCGATGGCTATCCGATCATTTGTCAACCCCGTGCTCGTCCTGGCCTGCAAGGCGTGAACTCAGCTGTTTCAGAAGGGAGGTGAGGGTCAAGAAGACGTGACCATTTGGAGACACCCCCAACTGCGCTATGAGCTTCTTTCCTGGGCGTTGGTTAGATGCAAGGGGTAGCATGCCTGTTGTTGGCGTCACACGTGGCGGGAAGTGGACAAGAGCTTGCCAGAGATGATCAGTTGACAAGAATGATTGAAAAAATTGCCCGACCGTGCATTAAATGCATATGAGGTTGCTATACAATCCTCCAATTGGCTGCGAAAAGCAACAACACCTTTCAACTTCACCATCAAATCACGTTATCGCTTTAAGTACCAGTAGTTCACCATATTGTTTTCCATGGTTTGGGCAACATGTTCCACCATATGATCTCTCATGTAAAGGTTTCTGCATGAACGTTTTAGGTCTTTGCTCATTTTGCTGAACCGGACTTAGTTGCCATACCAAGATGCGTTCATCTAATCTCTTTACTTCTCGGTCCTTTAATTCTTTCTGCAACTGAGCGGTCCAAACGCAGTGGCCATCGATCCCAAAATCGCACTGCTGAAAATAACTTTTGACAATCTAGGTGCTTTCTGTGTTTTGTAGTGGAACATGGCAAATACATGCAAATACATCTTGGGCCACAATAGTGATAACATGTCCAAAACATGCCATCAGCATTGCCAGCTGTTCTCTTCTGAGAATTCCAGACATCATCTTAAGCTCATTACATAGTTATCTTTTTCGAGTTCCATCATTGGCCTTTGAGGCCACCGCGAACAAACATTCAGGGAAGCAGCCGCTGGAGGCCTCTTGGGAATAAAATGGCCAAAGTCTATATACGTTTTATGACGTTTCTCTCCGAATCCAACTTCTGATCATGATCCCATTTATATAAATGGCCATTTTGGTTGTATGTACTATACTATACCCCATAGAGGATTTTTGCCCAAGACAGCCCGTCCCAAGCGCCTTGCTTTCATTCTTACTTGGATCCTGGGCCTCTTTCAACGCCTTGGCTTCAGCCTGCCAAGCTGGGATTGTGAAGTTCCTGAGACCAAAAAACAGACATCCTATCAGAGAGGCTTATATCAATAAGCCTTTTATACGAATATTTCACATCACAAGCATCCTGTAGCATATAGAATGTGTATTCCTCAGTATTCCCATGCGTGTGAGGTGTTTTTGACATTTCCATGTTCTAGCTACTCTGGGATGACTAATTATATATACAGTAAATATAAGTAAATATAGAGACCTGATGTTTCAAGGCTCACACCCAAAGAAACATTCAAAGGTGGATATTGTGTCACATCCTGCCTTTTTTCGCTGATACTTCACTGGCGTGAAGTTGCTAAAGTCGTGGAACATCCAAAATGATGGATGCACATATCTGACAATCCTTATGATCATGTGTGGGTAACATTGGGTAACGCGTCATTTTTTCATTCAAGCACTACATCTCCATATCAACAGTTATCAACTTGGTTCAACTTGCAGAGCATCATGGAATCAGCGCCTCGTGTCTCGCGTCAAACTCTTTCAATCGCTGCGCCGCCAGCGCCAAGGACGCCTCCCAAGGGCGACCCAAAGCCGAGCCCCTAAGGTTTGGCCCAATCCAATGTGAAAATGGGATAAATTCGGATGAAATCGGGGAATATATATATATGTGTGTGTGTGTGAAAATGGATCAAGTCGGATCAAATTCCAAAGTTTGGAATGCTTGGATGCCACTTTTGGGATTATTTTAAGATCCAAAATCATCTAAATATATCCAGACATCATCATGTTTCATGGAGGCCTATACCCACACGCACACCAAATATCCACAACCCCCAGCTCTCCACCTTCCGAAGCTTCACTAAGCTCTTTTCGAAGACCTCCACTAGACGCTCCAGTTGCCTCAAGTCAGAGTTGCCACACATGTGACATGCCCTAGCGACCCCCAACTCTGACTCTCTCTCTCTCTCTCTATCTCTCTCTCTCTCTCTCTCTCCACAAGTTCAGCTGAGCGAAAGGCGAGACATAGACTAAGTATATACACATTGGCGGTGCACTCTGAGTGGTGGTTCTCATTTTCCGAGATGTCTCAGGCTCATCAATCAGTTAATCAGTTCCGATATGATCCGATGCAAACCCATGCTGAAGATGCGCTGCCGGTCGCCATGGCAGCTGAGTGGCACCAGTGAGACAAGTTTGGTGGTCTCCTCAGTGATCTGAACAAACATCATCCACCAAGATTTGCACCTGGCACAATGGGATGGACAAATGTGACAAATGTCTTGGTGCGGCAGCTTTGGGGTCACAATATGTCATCACAGGAGGCTGGGACCATAGAATGCCGGAGGCCTTCCCCATACCATCATGGCGCAGTGATGCCCATGATGGCCTATGATCTCCAACTGATGCAGCTGTCAAGCAGCCATTCCCTTCGAGTGGGCGACGCAGCATCCAACTGTGGCATTTCAGCAACAAAGCGAAGCTCCAGCAACAACTTTTGAGTCCGATGAGCTTGTGTCGTTCGGCTTCGTTAGCGTCATCCTTTTTAGATGATATGGCCAGGGCTGGGCAGACTTTCAAGCACCCTGCTGGAAACGACACATAGAACTGAACCCCAATCAACATCACATATCTATTTTTCTTGTTTGTTTGCGCTGGCTGCGCTTCCTTTCGGCAACTGTTCCATAGTTTGCTGATGCTTAGCTGATGAGCATAGTCCGGCCCGAAAATCCCGGCCCTTTCTTTCGGCGACGGGCGAAGGTCGCGAATTATGGCCCTGCAGCATGGTCCTTGCGATGTACATCTTCCTCAGTTTCGTCGATGTCCAAAAAAAACGTTGGCATCGAGTAGTCCTGCCACAAGGCCCACAGAAGGCCCAGCTGCAGCCAAGTATAAATTGATATGAAATGATATGAAATGATTAAAACGCTCAAGATTCAAACCGTATTTACTTATTTGACTCTCAATTCAGAGAGGAGAGTTTACTTTGTAACGCAAAAGGCACAAGCCTGGAGCAACCGTGTTTCCAACCTGATTCGGTCCTTCTGGCGCTGATCCAAGCAGCCCAAGCCCATAAAATCATCCACGGTATGAACCAATCCACACGCACGTGTGTAAATGGTGTGCTCTTCTTGTTTTTCCTCTCGCATCTTTTGCACGATATATGCGAAGAGGATGGTGTCAGACACTGTGTCAAAAATCATCATGAAGGGAAAGGCCATGATGAAAGCAACGGCTGATCCACAAAGCGAAAGGAGAAAGGGATTCTGCACATAATCCGGGCTAAAGGGATCTTCAAAACCTGGATAGTACTTGATGATGACCTGCGCCGAAAACAGCGGGTGGAGCCTTCCCACGGGCACTTGAATCTGCGAGCCTGAAACTGGGGAATGCCCCAAAACTGCCACCTTAACTAGATGACAGTGTGGCCCGAAAGAAAAGCAGGAGGGAGTAGATCAAAAGAGGATGGACGAGAAGATATGAAGATGAATGGTGATGAAGGATGATGAATGATGAATGATGAATGATGAATGATGAATGATGAATGATGAATGATGAATGATGAATGATGAATGATGAATGAGGTTGCGGGTGCATAATGGTTAATTACTGAGTGTATACTGAGTAATTATGAAATTCTTATATCGTATGTATCTGTGTGTCCCCATGGCGTCTATTCAGATGACTGCGATGACGGAAGGGAATTAAATAAAAGCTTTTGCACAGAGAAGTCATTGCGCAAAGGACCGTTTATACGCAGAAGCTTTTGCACACAGAAGCTTTTACACACAGAAGCGTTTACACACAGAAGCTTTCACTCAGAGAAGTCTTTACAGAGAGGGGTTTTTGCACACAGAAGTCTTTACACAGAAAAGCTTTTACACTTTGGAGCTTTTACACACAAACGGGTTACACAGGGGAGCTTTTTCACAGAAGCTTTACACAGAGGGGCCCTTACACACAGACAAGTTTACACACAGAACCTTTTACACGGAGTGGCTTAAACACAAAAAAAGCTTTTGCACACAGGAGTTTTTACACACGGACTCGTTTACACACAGAAGCTTTTGCACAGAAGTCTTTACACGGAGGAGCTTTTACGCACAAAGGCCTTTACACACACAAGCTTTTACACAAAGAAGTCTTTATACAGAGAAGCCTTTACACAGAGGAGCTTTTACACACAAACGCTTTTACACAGAGAAGCTTTTGCACAGAGGAGCTTTTACACACAGACTCGTTTACACACACAAGCTTTTGCACAGAAGTCTTTACACACAGGAGCTATTTTACACACAGAAGCTTTTACACAGAGAAGGCTTTACACAGAGAAGCTTTTGCACAGAAGCCTCTACGCACAGGAGCTTTCACACAGAGACTCGTTTACACACAGAAGCTTTTACACAGTGAAACCTTTACACAGAGGAGCTCTTACACACAAACGCTTTTACACAGAGAAGCTTTTACACAGAAGTCTTTACACAGAGGAGCTCTACACACAGACGCTTTTACTCAGAGAAGCTTTTACACAGAGAAGTCTTTAGACAGAGGTGCTTTTACAGACAGACGCCTTTACACACAGAAGCTTTTGCGCAGAGAACCCTTGCCACAGAGGATCTTTGTGACGTTGGAAAATCGCATTTTTACATAATTTTACACCAGTTTTTGCCGTTTGACCTTCATTTCGTGCGAAAGGGTTGCATCTGAGATTTCAAAATCACAATTTTACACCAGTTTTTGAACTTCGACCCTCATTCCGTGCGAAAAGGCGATGCCGGGCCACTAAACATTCGCATTTCACGACACGTTTGTGTGTCCGACACGAACGATCTCCGCAGAGGGTGACGTTTCGCAAATCGGTTTTTGGCTGCCCCTGCCGCCTTAAGGGGGCACTTAGAAGAACTTGAGAAGTAGGAGTTTTCTAAGAGCTTTCAGATACAAGTAGATCACCTAGAAGTTAACTCCTGTGTAAGAACTCCTGTCTAACAACTCCCGTGTAACAACTCCCGTGTAACAACTCCTGTGTAACAACTCCTGTGTAACAACTTCTGTGCAATAACTTCTGTGTAAGAACGCCTGTGTGAGAACTCCTGTGTAAGAACTCCCGCGTAAAAAGTCCTGTGTAACGACTCCTGTATAAGCTCCTGTGTAGGAACTCCTGTGCAAATGACATGGATGTTTTTGTAGGAGATATGTAGAGGTTGAGCACCTGTAGATGAAGTTGATGTAGATATATGTAGATGATGTATGTGATGTAGATAAAGTTGATGTAGATGATGTAGGTGATGTAAAGGATATAGTTGGAGATGTAAAGGATATAGTTAGATGTAGGAGATGTAGGTGATGTAAAGGATGTAGGCGATGTTATGTAATTATATGAAGTGAAAAGTTGAATTTGGCAGCAGTTCTTTGGGAAAAACCCTTCGCAGGATCTTTCGGGAATAAAGAAAATACTGTAATGATCTAAAACCTTCCAAACTAGATTAAAAACCTTGGATGTTTGCGCATCCCCAATGTTTGGACACGCCCGGATTTGACTAAAGCACACTAAAATCTTCCACTTTCTCCAGGTGACACAGGTCTGCAAGTGACCCAACGAAGTGATGGCACCGAGTCCGGCTAGTTGAAATAGCCAGGTGGCACCATTTAAAATGTTCACAACATTCATGTATTCCTGGGCTGGGCAAGGTTGTCATTTGGCTTTGTCACCTCTCTTTTGGGCGATTTAACTGGGAAGAATGATGACAACCCTTGGAGTTGGAGCCAATTTCAGACAAACAGAGTTTCCAGATTCCAGTTTCCGTTTCATGCCGGCCGCTTGCGTTGGCCGGATTTTGTGAAATCTCCTGAATGGACTGCCAGTTTCAACCTACAGGGCTCCGAAAAACGGAGCGATATCAAGTACAGACACACAAACACGCACAGACCTTTGAATATCTCAGAATATCTGAGCTCTTGCCTTCCATTTCTCAAATCACAGGGATGATTTTGACGCGCTGGCTCAGCATCGTCATTGACTGTCATCCCAAGCCCTTTACCAAACCAGTCCTTCCAGTTTTGAACAGTTTCTGGAGTTTGGGGATTTGGGTAGCTTGGACTAGGGTGTTTGCGTCGGCCCCTTTATTCCAACAGCTCACGCTCATTCATGGCACAAGTCGAAACGATTCAATCAATGAATCAAGATAATCAAGATAATCAAGATCGAGGCTCGTGATTGACCCATGCGGTATGCAAGGCAGACTCATAGAAACAAAGGGCATTGAGGGCCACGTCCATGTAGGCATTGCGGCACCAAGGTTCCAAATAAATGACCTCCAGTGCCATTCAAATTTGGACAGCATGGACTCAGGTTTCCGAATGAAGCGTCAGAAGGATTTCAAGCAGAAGGCATGGGAGAGAGCCTGACTTTTTCCAGAATTTGATGATGGGAAATTTGCAGGAAATCCCTAGATTGGGAGGGATTTGCCCCATGGTTTCCTACCGATGTTTCCCTTCCAAAACAAAACAATCCATTGAACATCCTCCTGTGGTCCCAGTTGCATGTGCTTCCACCATCCAGCTGCAGAAACAGCTGAAAATACCCATGGAGTTTCGTTCCAGTCGCACCATACCAGCTAGGACTCCCGTAACAAGGCGGAAGGGCTGAGCAACTCCCACGATCAAACTCCCAAGGATGATAGTGCCAAAATGATATCCTGGAAGTCAGAGTGAGGTTTGCATAAGCACAAATTTATCAATATTGAATCACGGTTACCTCTTAATATATACCATAAACCAGCCTGTTTATTTAGTGATTTGTCTAGCTTCTATCTTGATATACATTTACACTCTTGATAGTTATGTTGCATACATACGTTCATTTGCATCTCTCCCTCTCTCTCTCTCTCTCTCTCTCTCCCTCTCTCTCCATTTGCATATAAATGTCACACACGCACATATATATATATTATATATATAAGTATAGCAACGTATGTAATCGTATGTGTGCGTTTACTTCTCGATCTGTTTTTGTTTTTATCTACAATCAGATAACAAACAGTATGCGTGTGAGTCTGTGTTTGTGTGTCCGCACGAAAGAATCTGGCATTCAGTGGATTCGGTGGACCAAGCAACATGTCCCTACTGCAAGTAGCAGAAGCTAGCTAGCGAGAGCCTTGCAATCATATCTCATCAAGCATAATCAAGGCAAAAAGGGTGGGATCTGCTGATACAGTTGTTGCTTGATGGACACTTGAAATGATGAATTGCACAGAATCATCAAGAATCACTTGTAAGGACCGTTTGGAAAGCCCGGAGCTGAAGGAATGGCTTCAGATCCATGCCACCAAGAGTCTCAAGCAAATGAAGTAGCCACGCAATAAAGAGCAACATGGCGCATGCCCACCTCGTCGTGTGAGACCACCAGTAAAGACCCAGAGTTCAGTGGTATACATGATGACAAAGTCAGAGATTGCAGTGATGATCCTTGGTGCCACTTGGTGCGCAGATGTGCGCAGGATCCATTGACTGGGACTGCGGAGCACACCTGAATCGGAAAAAAAAACTGAGCATAGCATACCCGGTACACGCGTTCGATCCTAAACAACACAGATTCCACACCTGCCGCAACATGCACAACCTAATTAATGATTACACATGCATGTCATACATTGATAAACCTTGTACAGTACATACATCCATACATCTCACTATGTGACAGTGCATTCATTCATATGATTCATATGTGTTTGCGTACATATGCACAGAACCATACAGAACCTAGATATGTGTGCATGTTTGCATCGCACTGGCGAACAGATTCCCATGATTCCCCGCCACATGTCTTACTCTTCAACTGGCAAGGTGCCAATTAGTCCATAAACACCAAAAGGCCACAGTGGCCAGCATAAAGATTTGATGCAGAGATTGGGGTGGGATGATCCACCGCTCTTCCTGAGTTTCAGAATCCGCGGGAGCGTAGACACCAAATCTGTTCAAGGCTAGGTGTTGATGGAACATAACCATCCGAGATTTTACATATATGTATATATATATATATATATATCTGCATATGTATACATACACACACACATATACATATATATATATAATATACATATATCAGATTGTCCGAGTTTCTCTCCTTCTGACCTCATCATTCGCAAGGTCGCAGGTCAAAATCAAAGCCGCCACATAGATGGATCCAAAATCCACCACTCCGCGACACAACAAGGCCATCACGGGTTCCAACTTCAGGGAAGGCGTCTCCAATACCTGGTCTGAAAAGGTGGTGTGCAATGTGTGCAAGGGTCACGACATGTTATGGCTGTTATGGCTCACCCTGGGAACTTGGTAATGATTCTTGGGGGCTTGCTGCTTCAACCAAAAGAAGTGTAGAGACGTCAAACGTAGGCATGATTTCATATGATTTCATGACGTTTCTCCAATGTTGCTGTTTCTCAGATGATTACAGAAAAAATACTCAGACTCAGCATTTTCCTGCCCATCAACGGCTTGAAAACCGAGGACAGCATCTTCAAATCAGTGGGACAAGCCAGGTTTTGCAGTTCCTGACAAGTCAAGCATCCACAAATGGTACTGGTGAACACACACACAATGCATAGGCAATGCCAAGCTGCAGCTTTGCAGGACATTTCGATGCAGTCAATTGCCAGTGCGATATCTTGCCTAAGGCAGAATGTCCCTGACCCCTACAAGTCGTTTCCATGCCATAGGTCCATAACTTCGTCTACAGTGAAACCTTCAAGCTGGACTGCATCCATGGGAGAGAAAAATCGCAAAGTCCCATGTGCCCATGTGGTTTTTGGATGTTTTTGGATGGTAATCCCAAAGTACTTCACAAAGCTGGGGAAAGGCGACATGCATCATGATCTTCCTCCACCTTGACCTCCACCAAGTGGCTGCAAATGCCAAGAGATGGTCATGAAGGTCACTCCTACCAGCATCCCAGCCTGAGAGCCCCAGTGCTTGGGATGGAAAGTCACCCTGCTCAAATTACAGCCTCATGAGTCAGGAATCGAATGTTAGAATTGGGAAGGCCAAATCCATTGATGTCACTTGTTTTCTTGACATTGCCAGGGAACATTAAGACTTTTGGTGGAGTTGAGAGTCCAGACTGAGTCCAGATCTCATTGGACATCCCACCACTTAGGAGCCACACCTCTCCATAGCCACGGAAAACATACCCTCTGCCCATAGCCACGGAAAATCATGCATGGGTGATTTAATGGTGATTTACCTACAAAACATGGCCATTTTCCATGGCATTCCATGGCTATACATTGCCATTTTGGGTACTCATGGCTCCAAGGCACCAAAGCTGTCACCCCATCAGTAAATCGATCGCCAGTGCTTCCCCAGCACTGGCCATCTCTCTTCCAGCACCAGAGGAAGTATGCACCAGTGGTCAGAGGTCTCAGTCAGAGGGAAAACGTGGAAAACCAAAGTCACCCATTGAGCAAATTTGAACTCCAAGTTGACATTAGTGACATTAGTGGACCTCAGAAATTTGCATGCCTTCATGCCAAACATGACCAATTCAGTGCGGTCTTGACGGCCCATCTTTGATCCTGCTTGGAACATGCCTATTTCTCTGTGGCAATTCATGACAATTGCAGAATGCCTTCTGGCACTTTCGAGGCAAACATGCTCTACAGTAATCCCAGGGATTATTAAAAGTGTTTGCCCTGACCAGTCATGAGATTGCTGATGTTCCATGTTTATCATGTTTGGGCATTGGGCCAAACTCCACATGCATACCCGGCATACCCAGCTCAAACGCGGTAGCTGAGCGTCGCCAGGACTAGAATGAACATGCCCATGTTCACCAGCATTGCAGCACGAAAGCGAAGGAGTGTGATGTACACATAGCTCATCACGACACCAGTTCCTGGCAGATCTGGCAGTTCGGGGTTCAAATGGCATGCGGTTCCGTAACACAACTGTTGCTGATGTTGGATGATGTTTATGTGTCCCCGAGGGGTCCAACAAACCACCCCAGTCTGTGTTCCATCAAATCGCAAGTCATGAATGCATCGCGCCAAAACCCATTTGCGTGCTATTTTCAAATCAAATCCAAACAAACGCAACGGGTGCCTGCTGCAACCAGCAAGGGCCAGTAGGAGTTGATCAGAGTGGCCCAGGTGTTGACCTTCCAGCATAAAAGCAACGACTTCATTGCCTACACCCCACAAGACTTTTGCAGGTCAATATGTCAATGATTGTCAATGTGCACCATGAAATGCAACGCAAATTGATAGAAACCAGTTTTAGGGCCATTTTCTCCGCTGTCCGAGCCCCTACAGGATCCACCACAAGTGTCCCCCAGTGCTGTCAGTGAGCTAACGGGGTCTTGTCAATCCAGCTTTGCACTTGATCTTCCAGCGTGTGCTCCCAAGGCTTGCAGACCATGTCCACAAAGGCCGCCTCGGGACCATCCCAGGGATCCCATGGGAAAAAATGCTCCCCCAATGCGATAAATGTCATAGCATGTCGTAGCATGTCATAGCTCATGACCAAGGCGGATTTGGAAAAGGACACCTGGACACCTTATGAACTTATGAATCCTGTGGGATGTTTCCGAATGGGAGGAGTTCAACTTTACTCTCTTGGAGATTTCGGAGTTTCCATGTTCGGCCGGGCCACTGAGGCGTACGACTTGGCGCGGTACAAAGTGAAGTTGCCCCGCCAATCGCTGTACCTTGGCAGGGCCAAATTGTGAGAACCCTACGGCCGGTTTGGCCAGGCCATGAAATGCAGACTCACAATTTGGGGAAGCTGATGAAAGTGAGTCACAAGGCCATTTCATGAGTAAGGAAAGACCGTGAATAAAATCATGTCTGTATATGTCTGCAGGCTATATAGCGTGTGTAGTACGCAAAAATCTCACACACACACACACGCACATACACAGGGCCCCCAGGCCCCCCATGGCCCCCCAAAAAGATGCGTTATGTCATCCTTGCATTCCCACTATCATTCACACCACATTGGCTCGCCTGGTATAGCCCCTTCTATAGCCGCAGCTTTCAACAACTCCGTTGCACTCCAAGCTACACAATTTTGTTCGGATGGGGCACCGACTTCTGATTCTTCAGACCCCTCAGAAGACCAATAGCCCGCAACAAAGGCAGGTACGACATCCTGCGGCCTGTGGGAATGGCCTCTGGAGCTGTGGTTGGTACTGTTGCTGTTGGTGCTCGCTGTGCCCAGTCGCGCCTGCCAGGTTGCTCAAGCCCCAGATTTCCTAAAAACTCATTACTAATATCTACTAATTGTGTACAACGACTGAAGCTGAACAACTTGGCCTGCACCACTACACTGCATAAAAGAACTGCCCGTGAGTTTTTCACCAATGGCCAGGTCTAAAAACATTCAAAACTCATTTCAGAGCTCAGGGGCCATTGGCCGGCCCTGATCGCAGGAGGCAAGGCATAATTCATCTCCGGACTTCCCCATGGTTCTTCGGGCTGCGCTCCAAACTGAGGTTCCTCATCTTGCGAAAAGGATTTGGGGTAGATCACTGGAACATAGTTCTTCCTCAGTTGGGGCAGAATCACTGAACTTCGCTGAACATGCTGAAGATTCTTCACTGCATCTTGACCAACCATGGTTGACCCATCATTGTCTTGCCAGAGAAGAAGGCGGCACAACGTCCAAGCCCAGAATTGTCTAAGAGTATGTTTTCTGTTGAGCTCTTTAGAGAAACATCCAGCTCAGAGTTGCCAGAGACAGTAGGGGCCCAAACTGCAAAGCTTGGAACTTGGAAGAGGAAAATGTGTAACAAAAAAGTTAAAAAAAGAAATTAACACACATCATTCATTCATACTCATATCATAGGCATGCATGTGACAAAGGAGAATTGTCCAGCCTTGCCTTACGTTCTTTCTGCTCAAATCTTACTATCACGAATCTGGTGACTTGAGACCTTTTGCAGCCACAGCCACGGCCGCGGTCGGTAGTACGGGTAGTCAAAGGCAGTCCTTTGAGGATATCGCTCGTATCCACCAGCCAGAGAATATGGCGGATATGGCCTTGGAACTGGTCACTGGTGGCATCTTTCACAGCAATAGCAGTATACAGAAGTATATATATACACACACGCGTAGAATATATGTTTGTGTGTATGTGTATACAGATGTAAATATATATAGTTATTATATATATATATACTACTATACATTGTTATTATGTCGTGCAAGATGCTGTTTTAATTTTCGCAGAACAAATGCCTGGAAGCCTCTTTTGGGCATTAAAAAAACTAAATATCAAAAAGTTAAAAATTGAGCTGCAAGAGGCAGTCCACCATTGTTTCCTTCATGGATGGACTGGTAGAAACCCCCAGTGGTTGTAGCCTTCGTCGTAGTAGTGGTTGTCGGTTCATGGTTCAGATTCTTCGGGCAAATCACTACCTCCCCCTCGGGACAATGATTCACGCAAATGGGATACCACATCTGCAAACCTGCGGATGCCGGCAATTGTCACGGGGCATGAAATCATACAGTAATAATCATTAATCGTATTCAACGCAACTCTGGAAAACGCAACCGCGTGGAGAAATTCGCGCGCAGCTGAAATTCCTAATCCCTGAAAGTGCCTGATGCAACTAAAAAGTACCTGGCGATCCTTTTGGGTGGAGGCCATTTGGAAGAGAAAAAAGAAAACAAAGCTACTGTGTGCCATTGCACGGTCTGGTTCATGAGCATGAGGGCAAAAGAACCTCGGACGCCGCTGCAACATGTGCGGAGTGTGGATCCTCTGTGTTTATCTTCCCAATATCAAGCATCACTTACGTTTGCATGTGCAAGCATCAACTGTGCGACATGTGACCATTACATACGCATGTATCTATCTGTGTGTGCTGGTACTTTGTCACGATAGATGAACATGACAAATGGAAATTCAGCGTCGTGCTAGAGTTCTGATTCCCTAGTGAGTGTGTGTGTGTGTGTGCAAAAACGGGAAAGTTGATGCCAAAAGCATCATTGAATGCTAAATGCGTAAGTGAAAGTGCCACATGGTGCCATCATTGATCAAATCTGAATTTGATATCTAAGACTCTATGACTACCATGTTCATAAAGCTTTCCAGGTTTGTTCGCCCCAGCATACTTCATCCAACAACCCATCTCCGCAAATCTCGGCCAAGGGACAGCAAAGGTTTGTCTTTGTTGGAGCCCAGGCCACACTTCTCTCCTTGCCAATCTGCCAGTTTCAGCAAGGCACCGGGCTGTCCCCGTGGCCAAACCCAAACAACCAGGTAGGCCACTGCTGCAGTGAAGGCAAAATATGCCACGCACCAACCAAGATCTGAGCACCGGCGCGGCACAGTGGAAGGAATGGCTCCTCAGGATTGGGAGGGGGGGCACATGAATAACCAGGGTATCAAAAAAGAATGCCAGGCTTGGGGCATCTCTCATGACAGCTTGGACACCTTGAAACCCTATGTCCCGCGCCTACATCCGCTGGGTCCCGTGGATTCTTGTGAAAGCCGTTGCCATTGGTCAGTGCCCCGTCTACAGACTCTTTGTCGCTGTCTTTCGAATGCACTGAGCCAGATGGTGTGCTATCACAATCCTGGAGCTGCAAATATACAGACCCGAAATAGAACATAGTTCCAGAAAAACAAAGAAAAAACATATTCCCTATATTATGTTGAGATAGGGATCCGAGAACAATAAGAAAAATCTAGAAACCCACAGAAGCCCCGTTTCGTCCTATCACTTGCCAGGGGGCAGGGGGCCAGAATATCCCAGACTACTATAGGGTGCTGATACAACGCTCTTACAGCGCAGTTTGACAAGAAAACACAACCTGCCAGCTGCAACCAGCATCGTAAGCAGCCTCCAGCTCAACTGGCAAGGTCGCTGCAGTTTTCGGGGAAGGCACTGCGATCTCCCGTGACATTCTTCACGCCAAAAGGATGCAAGCTGCAGGTTTTATGGATTTGATTGATTGGTTCCAAGGTTGTGAATATACAGTAATGTTACAGTAATGTGGTAATGTGTGTGTGTGTGCAATGTATTAACTTGCAGTTAAAGGCAAACCAAAATCCGAGCAGCGAATCTATTTCAAACTGGAAAACTTCCAGGCGGTGAGAATGCGACGCGCTATGTGCATGCGATTTGGCAGATTTGGTATGGGTTTGGAAGGATGCACACCACACATTGTGCAAGAATGGCGCTGACAAATCTGGGTTGTGCAGAGGAATCAAAGACCGTGAACCTTGGGGCGTCTTTGGTTTCTGGCAAAAGGTTCAGAAAAATAACATGGATCAACATCATATAAAATCATAAACATCCAAACCAATAGTATGATACTATACATGATACAACAGCAATCTAAATACAATCACTACATACAAAAATTCTAATTCTACCCTACCTACAGATACTACGGGACCAGGAGCTTTGCCCTGAGCTGCGAGCCAATGCAGCTGCAACGCAGTCATGGAAGTTTAAAGCGTGCCCCACGCACAATGTGAACTTGTACAAGCATGTGCAAACTATTATATAATGTAACCTTCAGCATCAAGACCTATAGCCTATATACCTATTGTTTAGTCCTTCAATGCGTTCTTCCACGTGCAACTCAGGACACACATATGGACACACAGTGGCACCTTTTGAGTTCTCCACTCGGATATTGGTGCAACCACACTCTCTGCAGCTGCAGGTCCTTTGTACATGTCCAACTTTGGGCTGCAAAAGGAGGCCGGTGAACCACCAGGCCCCTTGAGTTTTAACATTGCAAGTGTCTCCCAGGTTGTAGCCTGCGCACTGTATGATACATGAGTTTGTTTGCCGTACCCCTTGGCACAAACAATGGGGCCTCGGGCCTTTACATGACTGATACGGAAATTGGTCAACAAAATCAAAGCTTCGCAAAAACATGCAAAACACCAAACAACCACGGATTTTTTTCACTTATTCCACAAATTTCAGGTATCAAGTTTGACCCTATCCATTTTTGTTGCAGTTTCTGCCCACTCGCCGTGGGCACCGACTCAGGGCATGGTCATGCTGAGCGGATCGCTGGGTGCCATGGACGGGACTCCGGCAGCTAAGTCCTCATCCGGAGGATCCTCATCCTGGAACAATTTCGGCATCGAATAGTCCTGGCTGAGCACTGGCGCTGGGAGCACCAACTGCTGTCAAAGGCTGGCAGGAAACATAAATAAATAAATAAATAAATTTGTTAAAAAAAATATCTATATCTCTCCCCGTTGAAATTCACCCCAAGGGGTCAGACCCTGCTACTTGTAGCTATAAACCGCGGGGTCTTGCAACAAACCTACGAGATGAATGGGTGCAAATTAAAAAAATTCCATGCAACATGGTAGGGTTTTACACCAACCAGCTCTTTGCAGCACCTCCACATTTTGTACCGATGTATATTTTGCCCAGATGTTTGATTTCTATGTTTTTCTGAGTATGAGTTTTGCTTGGTTTTGTTTGCATGCTTGGACCCTGATCCCCAAAAAAGGCATCACTTTGTAAGAACTTGTTGCTCTGCCATTTCTTTGGAATTATTTCAATTGTTTTCAAGGAGCAACCTATCCTTTTGTAACGAAATGGGCTCAATGATATTTGCGGCCTGTTTTTTTTGACAATGTTGACAAGAGTGAAGCGTTCATACCCCTTCTTCTTTTGCCCAAGATTTGTGTTGGAAAGCCGGGCCGACTCGGACAAGTGGTATGGTGTTGCATTTTGAGCTCTCAGTAGTTGCAACTCTGTTGCTGCTTACATTTGGCGTTACATCTTGTGGGTGGGTATGAACGCTTCACTCTTTGTCTACATTGTATAAAAAAACAAAGGCGGCAAATATCAGTGAGCCATAGTGAGCCCATTTCCTTACAAAAAGGATGGGTTGCTACTTAAAGACAATTGAGGGATGAGTGAGGAAAACGCAGGGAAATGGCAGAGCAGCAGGTTCCTACAAAATGATGCCTTTTGGGCCACACACCAACCAAGGCTCATATTCGGAATAAGAGAGAAATCAAAAATCTGGGCTAAATATACTTCACTTCACAATGATATGTGTGGTTTGAACTTTTTCCCAAAACCCTGCCATTTTGTATGGATAATGTTTTACTCGCCCCTACTCATTCTGTAGGCGCTTGGCAAATCTCCCAGGTTTATACCTATCCAAGAAGGGTGGTCTGACCCCTTGGAGTGAATTTCAAAGCCTTTCAAGGGGGATACTAGTAAGATCCATCAAGTGTCAAAATTAGTCCCGTTTGCGTCAACTCTTCCTGAGTTTCATGTATATAATTATTATCTTGCCAGTGCACGCAGCATTTTGCTGGTTGTTCACATGTCCACATTCACATTTCCACATTGTGCTTCCGGTTTTTGACCTCTGCCTGGTTTCTAAGCCACACATGTTGCAATTCGTGGGCTGGGTTTGCGAGCCTCACACCAGGTCATTGAAATAGGCTGCAGACCGTATCAACAGGGCCCCCAAACCACTACAACCGAAAAGATCCAAAGAAGATAATGTCTGTATCGTTTATGATCGTTTTGGTGGAGGTGTTTGGTGAAAAACAAGGAAAAACATGAAAATACAACGTTTTCCTCGCACTCTGGGGGGCCAGCTGGCGTTTCAGCTCTTCGTTTGCCAGTCGAAGTGTGTCAAGTGGTCCTGCACTATCACAAGAGTGATGAATCACTGCGCTGTTTGTGCCATGAGTCACACCAAGTCTTTCCCGACATTGCAAACAAATCAAGACAATGCCTGCCTCCACCAACTACAGGCAATGCTTGCCCCAGAGCAGACCTTTGCACATCAAGGATTTCTCGACATGGAGCCAGGCGCAAAACCGTTCCAACCACATTGTGGCCTTGAGAGATCCGTTCAACGTTCCAACCACTTTTTGAATTCAAGAGATTCATTCAACATCATTCAACGGTAGCAACTCTGCACTGAGCTGAAGCTCGAGCGAAACGAATTTCTTGAGCCCAAGGCGTCTGGGCCCATTCGGACACCCCCCAGGTTGCCATTTCCGAGTGTCCTTCGTTGGTGCGTGAAAGACAAGGAGAAAAAGTCGGTGGGGAAATCACCGTGATTTTTCCCTTCACAAATTGCCATAAGTCCTTTCTGCAAATAATTTCAAATCCACAATGTTTTCTCTTGCGAGTGCAAGAAAGGACCCCCGAACAGTCACCAAGTCTTTCCTGCAATGTCTTTGCAAACAAATCAAGACAATGCCTGCCTCCATCAACTACAGGCAATGCTTGCCCCAGAGCAGACCTTTGCACATCAAGGATTTCTCGAAACGGATCACTGGATCAAAGATGCAAAAGCAGCTACGACTTGGTGCCAGGCGCAAAACCGTTCCAACCACATTGTGGCCTCGAGAGATCCGTTCAACTTACTTGTTGGTGCAGAGTTGCAGTCCAGCATGTCATTGCTGAAAGAAATGTCTGCACGAGGAAACTGAGCGAGGGCATGTTCTCCTTTTGCACAAACAGTGGCTGCGGATCTTGATAAATCTTGATTCATCCAAGCTATCAGCTTTGCCAAAAGCGGCCATCACTTCTGGCAATCTCGCTTGCAAGTTCAAGGCAATCTCACTCAAACAACTCAGGCATCATGCGCGCTTCAACTGGACCGGCATACGTTTTTGGATGCGTTGGCGTTGGCAGGTAGAGACAGGAGACATTGTCCGTATCTCAATTTGCCAGAGGTTTACCTCCATTTCATTTGGCAGAGAGCCCTCAACCTCTCTTTGGTTTGATCATGCAGGGAAATGAAGTAGGACGAACATCTTCTTGCTACAGGCTATGTTGTATATCAATCATGTGAAGGCTCCATAAGTTCATATGCTCCAATCAAAGCCACCAAATTGAGGGAGAGCATCGAGGCATTTCAAACGGCCTCTAAGACAACCTGGTCAAGGTCGATTCCCAGGTTGAGCATGGCAACCACTCGAGGTTCGAGCGGGTCGTCCAGCTCTTCCAGGGGCTCCTCCAGGCCTGGCTGGGACTTGAGAAATGGTACAACCGGAGTTTCTGTTCATGTCACGATGTGCACAACCAGAGTCGCTGAGATCAGGGCCAAGAATGTCAGACATCAGGGCATGACAACAATCCTCGAAAAACAAATGAAATATCATCAAGCCCAATTTTCAACACAACTGTTGACCAAACATTTGATACAATTTGATTTTGTATGTCTTCCGCCTTGAATTACTCCCACATGTCTTGGGCGAAGTCCATCACCTCGCTCTCGGTGGGGATCCTTAGAACCCACAGTTGCTCCCAAACAAATGAAAACATGCTCAAAACATCTCAAAACCGACTCTCTGAGAGACTGACCAGTCGAGTGGCCAGGGCTGGCTTTGGCCTCACAGCAACACATCGTTTTTAGATCGAAGTGCGTTGGGTGTTGGGCCTCTGCCACCTACCTGCGTTTGCTGCGTGTCAGGCTCAGGAACATGACCTGACGCAGCTCGGCAATCCCAGGCTGCTCGCTGAGCCGGTCACCAGCCAATCCCGGCCTCCGGCAAGTTCACCGAGGAGCTCGGCTCGTTGGCCGTCTCCGCAGCCTCTTCCTCCTCCTGGGCGCAATGACAGGACTGACTCACCGGGTGAACTGCGATCTGATAAAGAGTAGTATGGCGATATGGTCATGGAATGTCATGGATCATGGACCACACCGAACGGATATGGGTTTAGTGTCATTCCCCTTGGATTGTCTGCTGATCGCCTTCGGAGCTGCTTTTGGCGCCCACACTTTGGCTTTGGCCTGTGGCAGTTCAACACAGAGGTCAAATCGCGGGTCTTGGATGTTCTGCGGTACAATCGGAATGATTGTTCAACGGTTGTGGTTCTCAGTCGCTTGGAATGATCCTTCATGTAATGTGCTCAAGCATTTCGGTCCGGAAGTGGGAAGATGTTCGTCTTGGTTCTTTTTGAAACTCTGGACCCCCACATGAAACGTTAGATAGACTGCTATCTATTCGTCCCTAAGTGCCTTGGTCGCAGCCTTCGACTTACGATAGGAGGCGGAATCAAACTTAGCAGCATGCGGATTTTCAAGACAGAATGAATGTTGAATCAACCGCCATGCCACTAGTCCGAATCAGCCTGGCTTTCCAACACAACTCTTGGGCAAAAAGATGCACGTTGCCTCACCTATCCTCATTCTACACATTAGGCCGTTGAAACATTTTCCCATACAAAATGGCAGGGGCTAAGGTTCCATGTGTTCCTCCAACTGCTGTGCACCTGCTCACATGGACTTTCATGGTTTATCATGCTGCCACGAAAACCCTAGCATTTTGTAGCCCAGTCATCTATTTCCCAAGTTTCACCTCCCGTTTTGTTCGACACAGCTTCCCGTACTCAGCGCTGTATCGATCTTTAGTCCTACGCCATCCTACATTGTTGAGCCTGGGTATGACAGGCGCAAAGCCACTAAATTTCAAGAGCAGGCCGCCACAGATTCTTATGGCGCCTCGAAAACCGAACAAGTTCCAAAATGGAACTGCCCATGGGCCCAAGTGGAAATTGGGGAGAGCAGGAAACGTACCTTGGAAGGTCTGAATAAGCAAAATGCAAAATGCTCAAAAGAGACAACAGTCAAAATCTATGCAGAATTGGGCGCGCAGCTCGTTTTCCAAGAATAGCACCAATTTCCGACAAACTGACCATTAAAATCAACAAAGGGATTCCTTACAAAATGAATGGCCCCAACCCAGCCAAGTTTTCAAACTGCATTTTGAGATTGCTGTATGATAGTGATCTTATGCGTAAATCATCTATCTTATTGCGCTTATTATATACAATATGGCAAGGTGCAGGCAGGCTCCCTACAAAATGGCCTTCGAAATGGGCCTTGAGCCTTCAAATTATTTAGCACATGCTACAAAATGGCTGGGCTCTTGAAAGTGATTTCCTACAAAATGACCCTAGAAATCGGGCTTATATGGGCCTGGAGGCCAACCATTTCATAGGGGAAATTTCAACGGGGATATTATATATACGTGTATATGTGTGTGTGTGAAATCATGATGTAAATGGTCCATGCTATAGCATTGCAGCATCCCCAATATAGGGTCGATAATCTTAAACCGTACCAAAATTAGCAGTGGCGATGGTATTTATGTCCTCTCATTGTTGTTCTTAGCGAAGATGATTTTGCTAAAATAGATCAGTTCTTTTGACACACTTACCTGTTGGCTGTTCAACCCCTCTATACATTACCCAACCACCCAGCGGCAAAACGACATCTACGGTTCTGATTGGGGGTGATGACTACGCAGCAACAGAAAAATATCACATAGGCCTTGCCAAGCCCCTGGCTGGCTTAAAACGTTTGGCCAGTTTTGGTGCTTGGGGGGGGGGGTGGTGCACGACTGGTGCAAACCTGGTGTCTGGCCATTTTTTGTGCATCGACTAGCTGGTGTTGGAAAACCCCTTTTTTGGTGTCAAATTTCAATTTTTTGGTGAAAAGTTGGTGCTGAAAATCCATTTTTTGGGGTTCAGAATGCATTTTTTGGGGTTCGGAAACTTTGATGAAACTTCTTGAGGGTTTCCATGAAGTTGCCAGGGAAGCATGGAGGTGGTGAAGTCAACGATGTGTGTGTTTTTATTTCCCCCCCTTGCACCAAAACTGGCCAAACTTTTAAAGCCAATCAGGGGATATCTAAACAGATTATTGTTTTTCAGACCGTCTTAGGCTTCGTGTTATCATCAATATTCACATGACAACTTTACACACAGGCTCAAGGACGAAAAAATGATAGGCACCGTGTAAGTGCCCTCTGCCATGTTTGACATGGCTTTGAGTGGGCTTTACCAACATGGCAATGCATTTCCGCTTTTCGAAAAATAAAAAACCATCCCAATGCTCACCAAAGGCGTCACATAGCGGTAAAAATCACCAGAAATCATTCCACCCTTCAAAATCCCTCCAAACCCCTCCAAATCTTTCCAAACCCTCCAAATCCCCAAAAATCTTCCCCCATCTTTCCAAATCACCAAAAATCACCAGAAACTTTCCCAAAACCCAAACCCCCGCCCCAGCCACCCCAAAACCACCCCCCGAACCCACCCGAACACCCCCAAACTGGCCCCCACCCGCCCCAAACCCACCAAAACACTTCCCAAATCCTAAGAAATAATCCAATTCGGCAAATTTCGGGCCAAAATCTGACACCGCTTTCGGCAAATTTCAGCACCGCTTTCGGCAAATTCGGAACCAGTCGGGAACCAGTCGGGAACCAGTCGGGAACCAGTCGGGAAAATCCGTGCACCGCCCCAAAAGGCACAAAAATGCTGGTTTTTGCAGGGATTTGGCACTTTTTTGGTCGATTTTTGGCAAAAACCCTGCAAAAAGTGCCAAATTCGACCAAAAAAGTGCCAAATCCCTGCAAAAACAAGCATTTTTGTGCCTTTTGGGGCGGTGCACGGATTTTCCCGACTGGTTCCCGACTGGTTCCCGACTGGTTCCCGACTGGTTCCCGACTGGTTCCGAATTTGCCGAAAGCGGTGTCAGATTTCAATTTTTTGGGTGTCAAAAAAACGCGCTGTTTCGGGCTGAAACCGGCTGAAACCAGACCAAACCCTTCCCAATCTCTAGGCTTTTTGGTAATTTTCCCGTTGGATTGACACTTCGAAAGGGGTTAAAAAGCGCGCCCTTTTTGCGCCCAAAAAGGATCCCAAAAACAGAGAAAAAGGGCGCGACCTAAAATCCCAAACCAAACAGAAAATTACCTGCGCTCTCATCTGTTGAAGATTCCGCTTCCGAGAGCGCGGATTCTGATGATAGTTCTGTGCCATTGAGTCAACAGATTTTGTTGGGCCAGTTGGGTCACAGGTTTTGTTTCCAATTTCAAGCTTCCGAAAGCCCGGCAGTTTCACTTGACAGTTTCACGGTTTCACAGCATCTTCTGGATCCGGGTAGAATGTGGTCATGTTGGGCCAGAGCGAAAGGGTTGCGGCTGTGTTCCCACAAGGGGGTGTTCCTTGTTGTAAACTGTTAAAATATTGTAGTTCAAGTTGTAGCAATAGAACATTGCAGTAGATAATGGTGGCTGCAATTTGGTTCCTCCTGAGCATTGACTTCCCATATGTTGGGACTGGTTGGTTGGTTTTTGACATCCTCCACCCCCCCAGAATTTTGACACCGTTTTTAACACCACAAAAAGGCGTTTTTAACACCACAAAAGGGATTATCAAACACCAGGCCCAAACACCAATTTTTTGATTTTGAACACCACATTTTTCCCACATTTTTTTTTTCCAGCACCACTTTTTCATTTTCCAGCACCTTCCGTGCACCGCCCCCCCCCCAGAGCCCACGTTTTAAGCCAGCTACGGGCTGGCCAACATAGGCCGCTGACAAACCGACAAGAATAAATATGTGGTAGAACCGTAAGACCAATGGTATGGGGCACCTGACTCAAACACCCTGAACCAGCACGCATCTCCTTCTTGCGCCTGTCCAAACAGCCCAATCCAATGTAGTCATCGACCGTTTCCACGAAACCACAAGCTCTGGAATAAATGGTGGGTGTCTCGTCTTTCTCTTCCCGAATCTTCTGCACAATGTAAGCCTCATGGCAAACGTCATAAAGAAAGGGGAGGGATGTGAAAGGTGCCCCTCATCTTCCAACTGTCTCCTGTCCTCACAACTCAGCTGCTGAAACATGCTCACTGTGTTGAAGTACTGCTACAGTGCAAGTTGTCCTTGGGTGGCAGACCTCATGCCAATGCATAATCATAATCCAGGCTATCCAATTGTGAATGAAATTGTGTCGTTTGCCCAGTCTACATAATTAGTCTACCCCTTGCCAAGCGACAAAAAGAATCGTGTCAGACACAGTGTCGAAGATCATCATGAAGGGAAAAGCCATGACAAATGCCACCACCGAGCCCAAGATAGACAGGAACAAGGGATTCTGGACGAAGTCTCCGCTGAAGGGATCTGTAAAGCCAGGGTAGTACCTGATGATGACCTGCAGTAGGCTGGTAGGAGCCGCTCTTTTCCTTCGAGAAGGTCCAAACTGTTTTCCCAATGACTTAGGAACCCAGCATCAAAGCTGGGCTCATGCTTCAACGGGAACAAATGCATGAAGATTCCACAAAATGTTGTGCCTTTTTACGAGTTGTGCAGGTCACCCGCCCAATCTTAGCTACAATGTGATCATCTACTTTATGGGTGCGGCAGGAAAGGCCCATGAAATGATTTCAAATGGGAAAAAAACATGCATCATGCATTAGGGCGTGTGACAAGCAGCGCTCTAACGACAGTGCCAGGCAACACAAGCTTGCATATGGCCAAGTGAGGTGATTGCCCCCAAACCGGCCAATTGGAAGACCCAGGTGGCACCGTTCAGAATGTTCACCTCACCCGAGCTGGTGACAGCTTTGGCTCATCGTTTACGCCTTGATTGTGATTGATTTTAGTGCTTTCCCAAAACTGCCAAGTGATCAGGACATGGGCAAGGTCCTGCAGTCACGATGGTCAAAGAGTGTTAATGTGCTTAGCTTCAGTGCTCTTGGCCTAGAGGGATACTGGCTGATTTGAGGTGACCAGTGTCCAACAAGGACAAACAAATGAGACTTGGCTGCCAACGGCGTAAGTGCACCCACCGAGTTATTCGCTTTTTTGAAGATATCTCCCAGCAGGCAAGTTCTCTCTCTCTCTCTATTTCTATCTCTAATCTCTAATCTCTAAATATCTCTAATCTCTATCTCTATCTCTCTCTCTCTCTCTGTCTGTGTCTCTGTCTCTGTCTCTCTCTCTCTCTCTCTCTCCCCCTCCATCACCGTGACATACGTGGACTATCATCAAATATGCCGTGGCCTTGTATTATCATACAAATCAAATTTGGAGAAGTCATTGAAAATCCAGGCTTGATTTGCATCTATCCTGCCTACTCAAACAACCTGGCAGCCTTCTTCTGCCGGGGTCACTGTGGTCATGAATTCGGCGTTCACCAATGACGCATGCAAAGCGGATTTCACGAATGGCTGCCCATTTAGCGCCAAATCCATGTATGCATTGCGGCACCACGGCTCAAAATGATCAAAATACATGTCCACGAGCCAATCGCAGCAACAGGTCCTTGGAAGGTCGTCTTGAGTACTGCTCGTTTCATATGTTTCATCTGGACATAGCTGGACCATGCTGGACCTATCTGAAGAGTTCAAACGGAAGCTAGCTAAGTGAACCCAGCTTGTGATTATGTCCGCTTCTTCCAGCTTCACCAAATGGATCACATGGCCGTCACAGTTGAAGACCAAGCAAATCTGCCAGCCTGCTTGCTTTTTCTTCAGTTTCCAATGGCAAATGTCCCCATCTTGAAGAAATCCTTTTGCACCAAAAGGGTAAAACGGTAAAACCATGTAAAACCCATGTTGCCCTCAGATGCCACAGCTGTCTTTTGCAAAAAGCGTTGTGACCTTGCTTGCCAAGGCTCAGCAAGGAGCAGGAGCAGCCCTGAAACTGCAAAACGAAGGCAATCACGCCCAGAGCCAGTCGAAAGGGCTGGCAGAATCCAACCACTAGGCCACCAATGACCATAGATCCGAAATGGTATCTAAGGCACCTGGTCTGACATGGGAAAGCACGGCAAAAGTATGCAAAAATGAAAGGCTGCAAACGGTTTGAATGCGATTGCCCGCCCTGGGATGATAGAAGAACTTCGTCAGCAATGTCTTTCCATTACGCTGGTTTCAGGTAGGAATGGAAGAGTGATGGATATTTGAAATGGGTTTCTTTTAAAAAATGGGGTACCCCATTCCGTCCATTCGTTAATTAATCATCATCATCGTCATCGTCATCATCATCATCATCATCATCATCATTCACTGGCACTTCGCCATCCCCATCTCCCATTTGGGAGATATCTCTCCCCCATTGGGGAACAAGACTTAGTCCAAGGCACGTGTAGTAGCCCCGCAGCAAACAACACAAGGGAGCATGGCCTCCACTCCGGCTCAAGCCACCCGCGAAAACCCACAGCTCCGCAGTGTACATGATGACGAAGTCCTCAGCTCTCAGGTGAAGGACTTCTCACTGTCGACTGTCGGTGACTGTCAGCGAAGTTTTTTGTCATCCCACCAACACTTCACTTACAAAAGTTCAACGTGTTTCAACAATTGAATACATTGAATTATTAACTTGTTAAGCAGCTGCTGACTGGGGTGCACATGCAAGTAGGGCCACATCCAGTGATACATGATCCAATGATCAAAGAACAGCCGTCTGCCAGCTCATTCATTAAGCTCTAGATCGGAGCTACAATCATCATGCAACTTTCACCAGCTGCATTGTTGCCAACCATCAGGAGACAACCCACTAAGTTATACCAAATTATCAACCATTTCAAGTTACTGTCCAATGGTTGCCTGGGAAACCCCAAATGTCCGTTCCCGGAATCGCTCCAAAATGGCTCCCGGAATCGCGGGCGAGATTCCGAGATGGCGGTGATGATCCTGGGCCCGAAACCAGGCGCGTTGGTGCGTCCAAGATGAGATAAAAGGTGATGAAAATAAGAAAAATGTAGATGGAATGGAGGCAAATTATATACAATGATTATATATATTTAAATTATAATTAAATTATAATTATATATAATGTGGGCCTGGCATGGGCTATCTCTACGGTCTTGCCTCCAGCTGATCCATCTCCACTGGCACTTGCATCTAGGAATGAAACTGAAAGAAGCGACTTCTGCGATCTGGCCAACATGGTTTGGCCAAATGATTGCTGAAGCACACTGAAAGAGACTCAAATGCAAAATAGCAAGTTAGAAGTGAGAAGTCTGGCCCCTCCAAAGAAGGCATCGCCCATTCCAGGCACCAGGTTATCACAACCCTACAGTTCTTGCTGATACCGTTGGGCCCCCAGATGTCCCCAGTCAAGAGCAAAGTTGCGAAACATTGGCTGCTCCCTCTCAGCCAGGTGGCATGTTGGTCCACAAGCCCCAGAAACCAACCGCTGCCAGCATCGCCAGTTGTTTTTCTGATTGACCTGCATACGCCCGGCAACTCACGGGGCCCTGACAAGTGAGAGAATGATGGACCGCATAACTATCATAACTTCACATGCTCAATCATGCTCACATAGTAACACATAGTATCACATAGTATCACATAGTCAGATCGAACTTTGAATAAATTTGAACCCATCATGATTCAGCCATGGCTAGAGGACCTCATGACGAAGCACTTCAGCTGAGTGACAGGGGATGATCCAATGCTGTTGCCCATTGTGGTTGTGAATCACCTCTTTCTCCAGCTCCGATGTCAATATCATGCCTTGCAAATACCCATAAAATGGGGGAAAATTGTCGAAGGAAATGTTGAGATTACCTGTGAGTATGTGTGTGTGTGGACTCTTGTCTGTATTTTCGAAGCATATAACGCCATAAATGCTGTATATAAAACATGTATCAATTTGTACTAGACTATAACAGACAATTTGTTTATTACTTCTCTAAAACATGTCATGACTCATCTACATTTGCATCAATTCACTTGTTGTTGTTTTTTGCCCAATTTAAATATGAGATAAGCCCAGCTGCTGATCACGGCCACACAGGCCAAGTCCACCACAATTCGAGTGGACAGCGCCATCACCGGCTCCAACTTTAACCTGCAGCTGTGGGGAGAGGGAAAACCACAGGAAGAACAGATATAAGAAAACCATGAAAACCCTACTAGATTACTAGATATGAAATGATGATGATTGAATGTTGATGATGTATGATGATGTGTTTTCTCACTGCTACTGTGAGGAAAAAAAGGCACACATCACATCTCTGGGGTCTTTGAAGTGGTTGCTGTTTGGCATTCTGTGGCACAACGCAAGCTGAAACTTGGGTATGAGAACTCTCACAACAACTGACCAAGGGTTCGGCCCCCAATAAATTCCCATGGTGTTCAAGTATCAGCAGGGTTTCCTGAAGACATATCAACTGTCCAAAGTTCACATAGAGTCTAGCGGGTAGCAATGATGGCTCAGCTGATGGCATTTGTGGGTCAATAGGAGCCTACAAGTAGCAGCCTGGCACTTGAAGTTGAGAGTCGAAAGTCTCATGTGATCTGATTCCCCCCATATCCGAATCATCCAAGCAACGACGGCGTCTCCAGAACGGCTTTGCAGGACCATTCGATACATTCCACAGCAAGATCAGTAGCCTCCCTGCGACCATTTAAGACCGAAACGTCTGAACCCAACCTCCCTCACTATGACAAGCAGTATATAAAGTGGAAAGAGAAAGGTTCCAGGGGCGTTCTTCTGGAGATCTCCCTCAAGATGCAGCAAGCAGAACCTTCCAGTAAACCAAACCAACATTGGGATGAATTGTAGATGATCGCGCGCAGCTTTGTCTGCTACCATCAATATTTTTTCAGAGACCATTTAGCACCATGGGTTCCCACCATGTTCCCACCCCAGTCGTAAATAATCGAGCGGCTGGAGTCGATAGGTGATGGTACACAAGGTTAGACCCGTGAAGATACCCGTGAAGCCAACCACACCATCCTCAGCAAAGACGAGAGAATGGCTGGTTGTGACGTGTTACTGAGGTTGCTGAAACATGTTGGCTCCTCGAAGGGCAAAAGAAGGGGCTGAGCAATCACACCCATTTACGTGCCATTTTTTTTTGTTTCCCTCTGCTGTAACAATCTGTCCAGCCCCTCTGTGAAAAGAAATGAAACATGAGGGCTTCCTGCGTGCTAGGCCTCGTATGTCTCAAACCGTGACTTCTCACTTCTCATGCCTTCTGCACCCACTATCAGGCCGCAAAATCAATGGAAGAAATTTAGCACAGCGAGGGCAAGGTGCACTGACCAAACTTGCTACATGAGGCCTACCCCTCCGAATTCCTGCGAGACCTTATCTGATTTGGCCTGGAGTCTGTAAACTTCGCACCCGTGCTGCCCCAAATTTCGCCGTTTCCACGCCTGGGCGTTGAAAAATGTTCAAAAAACATGATTCAAGGTTCGTGAGTTCCATTGCATCCCCCCAGCACTTTCCAGTACCCCCAGATCCACTGGTTAATTATAATTTACTTTATGATTTTTTCTCAATGGCGGGGATAGGGCCGGGCCTCCAAGCATAGATGTAGTAGAGCCCAGTGATGAGAGGCCCGAGTGTCAGCAGAACCATCCCAGCTTTCACCAGGATGGCAGCTCGAAAGCGGAGCAAGGTCATGAAGACGTAGCTCATGACCACACCTCAGATGGATGATAAACGAACATTAGCAAAGATATTTACAGGATATAAAAGGTGCTTCAAGATATTTATAGATATTAGATATTTGAAGATTAGGTAGAAAGTAATCATATGACCTATAGTATCCTATAGTTCATTCTTAGTCACTCTAGTCATCCTTAAAAACCCACCCAGCAATCGGGCGGGTCAAGGCACCCATTCCAGCATCCACCAATAATGGCCAGTAGGAGTTGATCAGAGTGGCCCAGAAATTGACCTATGCCCAAAAGGAACAACAGCACAACAAACACAACAGGCACAAGCACAGCGGCCCGCAGGGCATACAGGTGCATCTTTTATGCGCATTTATGTACATATATATATATACGTACAGTATGCATGTGAGTATACATATATATATAGTTTATGTATTGCACGATTGCAGTACATCAATGTATATCATGAATCATGTGTCATGTATCATATGCAGTCAGTGTGTGTGTGTTCCAATAATTGTAATATACGTGTATCATATATATATATATATCCCTGACCTTCCAACCACAAGGTTTAACGTTGTGGTTAGTCTAACCCCATGTCTTTACTTAACCCCATCATTTCACTGCCTATCACTACTGCCTTCCAAAGAGCAGAGGCAGAATCTTTGATTGCATCAAGAATGCAGAATAAACAATACCGGCCTTTAAGGAGTTCCAAAAAGTTCCCTTCCCTTCAGCTTGCCATTACTGAATCCTAAAGATAGTATCCATGACGCACATGCTCCATAAAAAAGGTAGGGCGCAAAGTGTCACACCAGATCTTCGATTTTGCAAAAACTTTAGTCAAACCATTATTTGAGTCTTGCCCCCCAGTTTTTTGATGGTGTTCACGGGTTTTTCACGGTCGTTTCACGCACTTTTCACGTTATTTTCACGCACGTTTCACACTTCAAAATGGACCAAACAAATTGTTTAGAAAAAGAATGCTTCAGATTTTGCCATTTGCAAATGGATCTGACCTCTGGGCAGATTCGCGTTTTTCCTCTTATACCGCTTTTCCATAGCAATACTTCTGCCCAAACTGCTTTGGGACTGAGCCAACACGGTTAGTCCATGTTAGTCCACTCTCTGGATGTGAAACAGTTTGTGGCTAGATAGAACTGATTTTCTGCAGTCATCTAAAGACAAGGTTTAACGTTGTGGTTAGTAACCCCACAGTTAAACGTTGTGGAGGAAGGTCAGGGTATATATAGTCACGCGCATACATGCGCATACCACATTGAACATAGAGGGATGAATAGAAAGGACAGAAATAAAAATCTGCTGATCCTGCTCCAATGTGCCAAGGGCGTTTCGTCAATCCACTCCTGCACTTGAACTTCCAACTTGTAGACCCATGGTTTGCACACCATATCCACAAAAGGAGCCTTGCAATCGTCACCATGCATGGCTCCGCTCCCCAACCAAACAAGCTGGAGAATCTGGAGGGAAAAGGTTGGCGCGATATGCGACTAGAGCAAAACGATGTCTAAAACATGGGAGGAAAACCCTTGATCATGCCTGTGCAAATCAACCACGGGTTCTTCGGAGATTTGCTTAAAATTTAAAATCTGTCACCATGTCAAAGCAACTGAAAGATTGGCTAGGAGCACAGAAGGAACACAACCTTGTGAGCATGTTCATTGACGTGACAAGACCTCGCCACCTAACCATGTATTTTTATGTGTTTTGGGAATTGAATTGGTTCGCCCTGAAGCCAGCTCGAATGGGACGCATGTCGGATGGTAGACTCATGACTTGGGGACCGCCAAAGTCTATGGATGTCTGAGGGTCAAAATCAAAGTGAATTGTTTCTGGGAGGTTCATCCATTCATATCCATTCGCGGATGCCTCCATATCTAAATTGACAAATTATAATATAGCACCAGCCAAGCAGCTGACGTGTAGGATTTGATCTGGTGCATTGTAAAGTTCCCTCTCCAGTCATTGTACCTGGGAGACCAGGAACCCATGAACCCCATGGTGATTGTACTGATGACTGAGGCCATAGTGTCATCAGCCCCATCTCAAGGGATGGAGTGTTCCACTTTAGCTTCAGTCATGAGTGTCCGCAGTTTCTTTCAGCCCAAGACCTCCAGAATAGCAACTCCCAATGGAACAGTAAAATCCTCCTAAAATAGATACAGATTGGTACCCCCCATGAGCCCATGTCCCCCATTAATAATAACCATGGTTTGCCCCTGATTAATCAACCACCTTTCTGATCCATGAAATTTTAACAAATCCAATGGAATTCTATTAAGATCTAATTGACGTAAGCCATATCCAAAGTTTTATGGTTCAGAATTTTATGGTTCAGGGCCGTTTATTTACGGGTAGTCAAGAAAACTAGCTAGAAGGTACCTACCTACCTACCTGGTGGGGGGGGGTTATTAATCCGGTGTTGGCATTAATGGTAAATTACTGTTCGATCTTTCTACTGAGCAAGGTGCACAACGGTGTTGGGGAACACCTCCAGTTGTCGCAAATCCGATGCTGGAGCCGCCGTTGCTGTGTCCCCAGGATCTTGCAGAGGATCCCGCCGCCTCAGGGACGTCAGCCACTTGTCAATTGGAATTATCATCCATAAATGGAGGCTACTGGAGGTGGATTTCTTAAAAGACAAGTACGGTACAGCATTTCAGACCACCAAGCAATGGCCATGTCAGGTGTTATTCCTAGCACCCTTGGCAGGTGGCCATAGATTACAGAGCCAAGTGGCCATGGGGTCCCTTCCCAGGGACCCGCCGGTGGTCCAGGTGGATAGATGGGTGGAGGGTAGTTCGGCACCGGTTGTAGGTAGGGTTGATCACTGAAGCTGTGTTGTGAACGATAGCGTTGATAAACACTTGGCAAAGGATACGGTGGATATGGCAGCCCGCCGTTCCTGGCATCCCTGATGGAGCCATAAAAGTTGGCAGTTGTTCTTGTGGTGCTCGTGGTGGTCGTCTCCTGGTTCAGATTCTTGGGGCAGACCACAGCCTCACCTTGAGGACAGGTGCTGACACAAATAGGATACCACATCCTTGGGTGCGCAGTGCCCAGGTGAGACCAAGGGCTCAATCCCCAAAACGGGTCTCCAAAAAGAGACGTTCACCCACAATAAAACAACAGAGTCCTCAAGTTTCAAATTTGAAAGTTTCACCTTCAGACCGGCATCTGCAAGCGCTCTGGGTCGTGCGCAGAAGGGCAAAAGAACAGGTGGGGTTTGTCCCATTTGTCGCCCAGGCCACATTTGTCTCCCTGCCAGTCTGTCAGCTTCAGAAGCGCTTGTGGCGCCCCCAAAGGCCACACATAGACGGAGATAGCCACAACCAGTGCAGAGAAGGCAAAATAACCAAACATCCAATTCACATCTGTGCAACGTCGTGGAATGTTGGAGGGTATGCCTTAGCCGAGCTGAATCGAGCTGTTACATGCAATGTTTCTACACCGTTGCGCACGGGTTGAGTTGTGATACACATTTAGGGAAAAGGCACCTGGCAATAGGAAAACTTTATGAAAAAGTGACTTGCATGAAATCTTGGATTTTCCGGCCTGCCATGTTCGTTCACCAGACACTTCTGCAATCCTTTGCGTAAAAGGCAATACAATTGAAAGATTATAATATATATATATATCATTCAGGTCCAGGTGTTTCATAAATACAATTCACCCTGGCCAACTGTTGCCGCCCACCCTCACCCCATACCCAAAACCCTCAAACCCAATGGCCATCCGTTTCCAACTCGGTGAAATCATCCGAACCAAACTCCAATTCTCGGATAATACTGTTGGGTGTTGCAAATTTTCTTGGATAGTTTTCATATACTTCCAGTAATTTCACTGTTCGATCCCTTGGTTTCCCCTCCGGGTGTCTGAAAATGGGACATATTCAGAAAATTGTAATTATATATACAACATTCATGGTGAAAATGACGATGAACCAGGAGATTTTGCAGTGATGATCTCCGCCTTCTTGGACAAACCATGACAGCCCCATGTGTTTTTTCTCGCAAATGTCCCGCTGCCTCCAACATCCTCCGGATCCCGCAAGTTCTTCTTGAAGACTGGCGCCTCATCCTCGCTGGAATCCAAGCCCTCACCAATGTCAGAGAAACTCTCATCAAAGCTGTGGACCTGCGGGTAGATGCGGAGGCGGGTTGCAACAATTGGAGAATAACCATGAAATGACCATTAATCAACAATTAATATCTAAATTCCAGCTGCTAAATCAAATAAAACTGATGGAATACTGATGGACACTGCCGGTAAAACACGATTGCAAGCACCATTCTGAAAACAATACCTTCCCAGCATGGTTCCCGGAGTCAACTTGGCTGCAATCATGCAATCGTATACTGAGAAAACCAAGGTCTGTCGCTATTGTTCAGAAATATACCCTATGAAAGAAAAACCGTGCGGATCCGTGCGGGGAACTTGGGCTGTTATTTCTTCCCCAGCCGGCCGGCAAGGCTGAAACCGCCCGGGCTGGGTATGGTTTTGAATGTTTTTGGCTGTCCAACCCACCTGGATGCTACGGATGTTTTTTTGGCCACGTCTGTCATGCAAGGGACAACTTAAACAGAATTTATATAGATAGATATCGTGTTACAGATGCATATATATATATATATACATGCATATATTATCATATTTTATCTAATTTCAAGAGGAATGAAAAGCATGTTTTCTGATGATTCAGCACGGGTAGGTACATATGAGACTTTCTATGGGTACGGTACGGTGGGTACGGTGGGTACGGTACGTTGGGTACGGTGGGTACGGTACGGTGGGTACGGTGGGTACGGTACAGTGGGTATACAGTGGGTACGGTACGGTGGGTACGGTGGTACGGTACGGTGGGTACGGTGGGTACGGTACGGTGGGTACGGTACGGTGGGTAATTTGGGGGTACCGTACCCACCGTACCCACGGTACCGTACCCACTGTACCCACCGTACCGTACCACCGTACCCAACGTACCGCACCCTTCACCGTACCATCATTTTTGAGGACCGTACCTCCCCACAGAGCATCACGCTTGAAATTTGATAAATCATATTATATATATATATATTCAGTCATTCATAAATAAATAACAATAGAAAACTTGAACTGGTTCACCAGGTTCAACTGGGTCAACCAGATCAACTAGGGGTGAACTATGGTTTGGAAACTTCGGAAATTTATAATGTATGGTGCGGGAACTATGGGGATATGGTTCTGAAACTGAAAAGAATATTGGGAGTGGTAAGCACAGAAGAATGTCAACTTTGTTCAGATATATATATATATATATTCAACATATTGTTTTGTCGAAAGTTGTGGCGGTTGCGAGAAACTAAAAAAAACTCCACATGTCCACTGCGTTCATATGATGATTGTATTGTCTTGCATGGTCAAAACGGGTGGTAAATTTCGAACATGACTCAAGATGCCAACTGTCTTCATATCTTCACCTTATTGTTTTGTAGGGAGCGGGGGTAATTTTAGAAATAATTCAAGATGCCAACTTGGTTCATATGTTCAACGTATTGTTCTGTAGAAAAAGTATGTGAAATGTTTAAATGTATTGACTTTGACTCAATGTCAACTTTGTTCATACTTTCAACCTGTTGTCGTGTACGGAAAGACAGGATGACAATTAAAACTTAATATGTCCACTGCGTTCATATGTTGAAGTTATATCTTGTTGTGGGATATTTACAACAATGACTCAACTCAACACATCAACTGCGTTTATGTTGAACGTTGTGTGTTGTAGGGTGTAAATTTAAAACAGTGACTCAGCTCAACATGTCAACTTTCTACATATGATGAATGTATATTGCTTTGTAAGGGAAGGGGGTTGAAATTTGTTAAATTCTTCAACATGTGAACTTTATTCATATGTTCAACGTATTGTTTGTAGGGGAGCGGGGCGGTAACTTAAGAAATGACTTAGCATGTCCACTGCCTTCATGTGTTGAATGTATCGTGTTATAGGGTCGGGGGGGAGGTCAATTTCAAAAATGACTCAACATGCCAGCGTTCTTCATATGTTCAACGTATTTGTGGGTGTGGGCGAGGGAAGGAAAGTTTAAAATATTCAAAAAATGACTCAACATGTCCACTACATTCACATCTATTCACATGTTGAACATGTCCACTGCATTCATTTGTTGAACGTATCATTTTGTAGGGTGGAGGGTGGGGGGTTAGTTTTAAAAGCGACTCTACTTGCCAACTTGGTTCATATGGTGAACGTATTGTTTCGTGGGGTCAAGGGGTGGAAGTGTTTTTAACTCAACACGTCAACTTTGCTCATATATGAAACATTATGAAACGTTTTCTTTTGCAGGAGAAGGCAGGGGCTGAAATTGTTTGTCTAAACTAAACGCTTTCTTTTTCATTTCAAAGTATCAATTTCTTCGCCTTTTTGTCTCAACCCTGCCCATTTCGTCTCAGCTCTTTCCTTTACATGTCAGCTCTTTCCTTTTCATGTCCGATCTCTCCTTTTTGTGTGAACCCTCTCTTGTTAACCCAGTCCTTTCGTTTCAATCTTGTCCTTCCGTTTCAACCCTGTCCTTTTGTCTTCAACCTTTTCCTTTTCGCTTCAACCCCGTTCTCTCGTCTCAACCCCGTCCTTCCGTTTCAACCCCGTGTTTTTGTCTTGAACTCATTGAACTCTTTCCCTTTTCTTTGCAGCCCTGTCTTTTTGTCTCAAGCCGTTCTTTTTGTCTCAAACTCTTTCCTTTCCGTGTCAATGCTATCCTTTCGTTTATGTACAGTAAACGCTTTCCTTTCCGATTCAGTTTTTCTCCTTTCTGTCGTTTCAAGGCTCTCGTTTGCGTTTCAGCACTTTCCTTTCGGTCGTACGAGTAGTTCTCTTCCTTTTCTTTCTTTTCGTCTCAGCTCTTTCCTTTTGGTATTCAACTGGGAGCTTGTGGTGTGTAGCTGCCCTCGGCTTGGTTTTCGGCTGGTCGGCTGCAGCTGGCTGCGGCTTGCTGCGCTTGAGGCTGCTTGGTTCTTGGCTGGTCGGCCGGCCGCCCAGCTGGCTGGCTGGTTGCGAAATAGCGGGCCGCACTACGCTGGCATACTGATTCGATCTGGTTCGTCGATAGTATTAGTGCAGATCTTCCCATATTGATCATATTGAATTATCATCACGATTCAACCATGTTTTCTCCTAAGTGGCTCGCCCACGGCCTCCAGCTGTTGACCCGCGCCCGGTGCCGCTGGTGCCCCAGGTGCCCCAGAAAGTTTCACCAGCGGCATGGGCGCGGTGGGCGCCCCCATCTCACGCATCGACATGGCCACGGGTCACATGCTGCCGAAGGTGGAAGGAGCTGGCTAGGTATGGCTAGGTCATATTGGTCCCATTTCAGGGAATCAAAAATGAAAAATTGCAGGGATGACAAGGGATTCTCCTCCTGACTGATTTTCGGAGCTGAGCTGCTTTGGAAAAAGTGGTATGTATATAAATCATTATAAATCTATATATACATATATATACATACATGTGTGTGTATTAGGGCGCCCCTTGCTGTCAAGATATGCACATTCAAATGCACGCTGGGGGAAATCTTAAAAGGCTGACATTCTCATGCGTGTCACTTTGCCTAAGGACTATGACCTGACTATGACTAAGGTTGTACTAGTCGAGGATTTGAAGAGGGAATTCCAACATGAGGCTCACATAAGCCATTCGTCTGGCATTTTCCCTGTCCAATGGTTGCAGCACACTGTTTGGAAGCGAATCCATCGTAACACCAGCAGCTTGGCTCACAAGTTTGACACCAGATGGTCCACCATGGCAGTACTATGTCCATGTGCTCTTGGGATTCTTTTGGTATGAGTAGAGAGTAGGGTTGCATCAATCCAGAATAATTAGTGTTCTGTGAAGCTCTTTGGTGTGACATTGCTTCCTGACTGTCATCTCAACCCTGGATTTCATCAGCGGTACCCTTCACCCACCCTAACTGTGGGTTTTGTTGAAGGGTGGCAGCAGGTCGCACCCCATCCACCGCAAATCCGCAAAACATGTCTTCCACACCTGTCCGTCTCCGATGCCGAGACATCGGGCACGCTGGCACGCTTGTAGAGCGCACAAACACAATCTGCGGCCAGCTCAATGATGCGCGGCACCTCCCGGCAAAAAAAATAAGGACGGCAGGACTGACTCCTGCTGTTCCGTTTTGCCTGAGTTGAGTTGATCCAGTGGAAGGCGTTTCAGGCAACTTGTCAGTTTGCAGCGAGTGAAGGGGCTGGACCCAGCTGTCATGTACGATGTGGGCCAAAACGTCTTGAGTACGGACATTCCGCGGTGGCAGTTTCCCCAAGGTTGATTATCTTGCATCGCCCACGTCACCATGGCTTCTCCCCCCAAGCCGTACCAACCTACCTAACAGCCACTGCCAGCGTCATCGCATTGTTGGTATTGGCCCCGATTCCAATATTAAAACCATTTACAACTACTTAGTGTTGGCAAAGCAATAATACACTACCGATCATGTCATGGTTTACACCACCCATTTATGGTAAAATTAGGATAGTTTATTTGTGTTTTTTCCAACATCACAAGCATTTTTAAGCTTCACGATCCACTCCATCCACTGCCATGTTGGAAGACGATAAATCACCGGATCTTGCCGCGATCCCCATCTCCAGCTGGCCTCCCTCTCATTGGCCGGCTGCTCAAGCCTCTGGAGGACCGCTGCCTGGCAAAAATACATTGGGAATCCCCTGTGAGTGGAGGCGGTATTTTGTGGAAAAATCATCAAATGCCACCTATGGTTGCCAGAAGGTAAAAATGATGATGTGGTTGCTGAAGATGAGAAAGGAAATGGTGTTGTGATGTTTTATGTGATTGAGGCCTCTTTGAGAGTGTATTTGTTTGCATTTGTTCGTCCCAGCGTTTTGATCCTAGTGTCCTAGTGCGTGCGAATCCCAGCTGATCGTCGCTTGCGAATAGAATTGACAATAATGCTGACGAGAGATGATGCAAAGCATTTTTCACCAATATGGGTTTGTCTGAAAACAGGGCATTCCAATTCTCCACTAATTTATTATCATTATCCAATTATCCCTATATCAATAGCTCGGGTTGGGGGTATACCCCATTTTCAAACCGACTCATATGGCTGTTGGCCACATGGTTACGACATGGCATCACACGACATTGGCTGTATGAGAAGATCGCCATTTTCCAGTCTCACGAGGAGCTATCTCCCACAGGATTTCTGAATCTAGCTGCTATATAATTTACAGGTCAGTTGGGGTTTGTCAAAAGCACCAAACCGAATGAAGCCAGCAGCCCTTTAACCCCCTACACCATGCCATCATATGCCATCATTCCGTCGGAAAATCCTCCGAATCCATGTGCAAATGATATTCCATTTAGAAATGTAGCTTTCCTATTGCCAGATTGCCAGATTCAATTGCAAACCTGCCCGGCTGCCCCATCGAGTCGCCTGAAGAGCATATTCAAAGTCCTCAATGCCAGCTTTGGTCTCCTGCCAATGGTTGTAAATCGCAGCAGGAAAAGCTTCTGAAACCTGGCAGTCCCATCACACTGCCTGATTTGGGAAAATTTTGAACAAGTTGCTGACTGTTTGATCATTGCCAACTGGGCCAACTACAGTCTCCAGTGAAGAGAATGATATGTATATAATTGTATATATAGGAAACAGGGAGCACACTTTTTCTCCCCAGTCCCAAAAAATACACAAAAAAGATCAAAAAAAACCATGCAGCACCAATGTTCCTCATTATGATTATCTACCATGATAATCACAATTTGTGCTCCAATGGCTACCATCCCACCATTGGAGTATTATAATTGTTGATTGCCGATAGTTACAATCATCCAATGGTTATGATCATCCAATAGCTCCCAATAATTCCCAACAACTATACTATAGCAATGTAATCATAATAATACCATGTAATATCATCCAATCATTCCCAACGACTAAAATAATTACAATAAGTTCATAATCAAATATAGGCATTGGTATCATCGTCGTCATCCTCATCATCATCATCATCATCATCATCGTCACTAATCCAATAATCCAAATGATCCAAATGCCATCCCAAAGATGATTGATTATCCATATTAATCCCAGTTATTCTAACAATCATAAGCATAATAATTAGTGTACTCATCATCATTATGCAAGTATATAACTATTGTGCACAATCATCAGTATAATAATTGGATGATGGTGGTGGTGGTGGTGGTGGTGATGATGGAGATGGCGGAGATGATGATGATGATTATCGTTGTGATTGATTATTGCAAGCATCAATAACATTCAATAACCAACGGCCACTCAACGCTCCTCCACGGTGACCTGGGCACAAGATCCATCGATGCCCAAAACGCTCAAGAGGTCGTCTTTGGCGGCCGCACTGGGCCTTGGAGCTGCCAATGAGTGTGAGTTATAGTGATAACTATGGTGAATCATGGTGAAAAACATAGTGATGTTTGCAGTGATTCATGTTTTTTTCCCAAAAGCATCTCCGATGCTTGGGTTCTCGTTTAGGCACTTTGTCGCGAGGGAGCGAGAAGGAGTGTTGGACGGAGATGGGTCGGAGATGGGAAGGAAGGAAAGGAGGAAGGAAGGAAGGAAGGAAGGAAGGGAGGAAGGGAGGAAGGGAGGAAGGGAGGAAGGGAGGATGGGAGGATGGGAGGAAGGAAGGAAGGAAGGAAGGAAGGAAGGAAGGAAGGACGGCAGGAAGGAAGGAAGGAAGGAAGGAAGGAAAGGAGGAAGGAAGGAAGGAAGGGAGGGATGGAGGGAGGGAGGAAGGGAGAGAGGGAGGGAGGGAGGGAGGATGCTGGACGGACTGGAAACCGTGCAAATAGCTTGGGGAGAGCTTCGCTGGGAGGGAGCGAGACAGCATGCTGGACGGAGAGGAAACCGTGCAAATAGCTTGCGGAAAGCTTCGCCGGGAGGGAGCGAGACAGCATGCTGGACGGAGAGGAAACCGTGCAAATAGCTTGCGGAAAGCTTCGCTGGGGAGCGAGACAGCATGCTGGAGGACAGGAAACCGTGCAAATAGCTTGCAGAAAGCTTCGCTGGGAAGGAGCGAGACAGCATGCTGGACGGACAGGAAAACGTGGAAATAGCTTGCGGAGAGTTTCGCTGGGAGGGAACGAGACAGCATGCTGGACGGAGAGGAAACCGTGGAAATAGCTTGCGGAAAGCTTCGCCGGGACGGGGCGAGACAGCATGCTGGACGGAGAGGAAACTGTGCAAATAGCTTGCGGAAAGCTTCGCTGGGAAGGAGCGAGACAGCATGCTGGACGGAGAGGAAACCGTGGAAATAGCTTGCGGAAAGCTTTGCTGGGAGGGAGCGAGACAGCATGCTGGACGGAGAGGAAACCGTGCAAATAGCCTGCCGAAAGCTTCGCTGGGAGGGAGCGAGAGAGCATGATGGACGGAGAGGAAACTGTGCAAATAGCTTGCGGAAAGCTTCGCTGGGAAGGAGCGAGACAGCATGCTGACGGAGAGGAAACCGTGCAAATAGCTTGCGGAAAGCTTCGCTGGGAGGGAGCGAGACAGCATGCTGGACGGAGAGGAAACCGTGCAAATAGCTTGCGGAAAGCTTCGCTGGGAGGGAGCGAGAGAGCATGCTGGACGGAGAGGAAACGGTGCAAATAGCGTGGGGAGAGCTTTGCTGGGAGGGAACGAGACAGCATGCTGGACGGACAGGAAACCGTGCAAAGAGCTTGCGGAAAGCTTCGGTGGGAGGGAGCGAGAGAGCATGCTGGACGGAGAGGAAACCGTGCAAATAGCTTGCGGAAAGCTTCGGTGGGAGGGAGCGAGACAGCATGCTGGACGGAGAGGAAACCGTGCAAATAGCTTGCGGAAAGCTTCGCTGGGAGGGAGCGAGACAGCATGCTGGACGGAGAGGAAACCGTGCAAATAGCTTGCGGAAAGCTGCGCTAGGAGGGAGCGAGACAGCATGCTGGACGGACAGGAAAACGTGGAAATAGCTTGCGGAGAGTTTCGCTGGGAGGGAGCGAGACAGCATGCTGGACGGAGAGGAAATTGGAAGAAGACACTGTGCAAATAGCTTGCGGAAAGCTTCGCTGGGAAGGAGCGAGACAGCTGCTGGACGGAGAGGAAACCGTGCAAATAGCTTGCGGAAAGCTTCGCTGGGAGGGAGCGAGACAGCATGCTAGACGGACAGGAAACCGTGCAAATAGCTTGCGGAAAGCTTTGCTGGGAGGGAGCGAGATTGCATGGTGCTGAGAGAGGAAACCATGCAGGTAGCGTGCAGGGAGAGCACCGCTGCTTTGGGAGCGACAAGAAACTGGGCCCTTTTAGTCTACCATCTATCTATCTATCTATCTATCTAACTATCTATCTATCTGTCTGTCTGTCTGTCTGTCTTTCTGTCTGTCTATCTATCCCATCTATCTATCTATCTATCTACCTATCTGTCTGTCTATCTATCTATCTATACAGTATATCTATCTGTCTATCTATTTATCTATTTGTCTAAGACTCTTTACAGGGAGTTGGGAATGGTGAGAACCCGGCAGGAGTTCTTTAATGTAAGTTACCTATCTATCTATCTATCTATCTTTCTTTCTACCTATCTATCTATCTATCTATCTACCTATCTATCTATGTATCTTGCTTTCCCATCTATCTATCTATCCATCTATCTATCTATCTATCCATCTATCTATCTATCTATCTACCTATCTATCTATCTATCTGTCTATCTATCTATCTATCTATCTATCTAGTTATCAATCAATCTATCTATCTATCTATCTACCTATCTATCTATCTATCTATCTATCTGATCTATCTGATCTATCTGATCTATCTATCTATCTATCTATCTATCTATCTAGTTATCTATTTGTCTAAGACTCTTTACAGGGAGTTGGGAATGGTGAGACCCCGGCAAGAGTTCTTTAATGTAAACTACCTATCTATCTATCTTTCTTTCTACCTACCTATCTACCTATCTACCTATCTACCTATCTACCTATCTACCTATCTACCTATCTACCTATCTATCTATCTATCTATCTATCTATCTATCCATCTAGTTATCTATTTGTCTAAGACTCTTTACAGGGAGTTGGGAATGGCGAGACCCCGGACAGGAGTTCTTTAATGTAAGTTATCTGTCTATCGATCTATCTATCTATCTATCTATCTTTCTTTCTTTCTTTCTATCTGTCTAAGACTCTTTACAGGGAGTTGGGAATGTTGAGACCCCGGCAGGAGTTCTTTAATGTAAGTTCCCTATCTATCTATGTATCTATCTATGTGTCTATCTATCTATCTATCTTTCTTTCTTTCTTTCTATCTATCTATTCAGAGAACTATCCTCCTAACCCCTGGGTGTAACCCCTCAACTCTGGACATGGCTCTTAGCTTATTTTCAGAAATGCTAACTTGTTGCTAACCGGCTGCTAAACTGTTGCTAAAAAGAAGCGCCAAGAAAGTCCCTGACAACGCAATCGGAATCGTCCTGGCAACAATTTTTACCGTCCTGGCACTCGAGTTTGAAAGCGGCTCCGTTTCACGGAGGTCGGTGAACGCCATGCCTTGTGATTGCATGTGCAGATTCTGAAAGCTTTGATTTTACGTTGGAAATATCCAGTGGGACAGGTTTCCATTTGATTGGAGGAGATTCCTTGGCTTTTGCCTTTGCCTTGCACTTCGCCTCTGGCTCACCTTTTGGCGGTGCCTGGCTTTTTGCTTTTGCCTTTTGTTTTACCTTTGGCTCAGCCTTTGCCCTACCTCGGCCTCTACCTCGCCCTTTAGGCTTGGCCTCATCTTTGGGAGGTGGAGGCACCTCATCAGATGAGCTGCCACTTGAAGAGCGGCCATCTGAAGAAGTGCTGCTACTACTGGACTGCCGTTTCTTGGAGGATGGGCTCTTCCCCGCTTTCGGTTCTTTTTCTTTCCTCTTTATTTTGGTCTTTCTCTGAGCCATCAGACTCAGAAAGTCTTTTTTTCTTGTCTGCTGCCGGGTCCGGTTCATCGTTGTTTTCATCTTTTTCTGTCACATGGTCTTTTTCCAACATTTCACGAACATCATCTGGAAAAACTTCGGGGTGGTCTAGTGCGAACTTCAACTCATGGTCACCACATGTCCTCAAGGCATCAACCTCATCTTTAGTAGGTCGCTTTTCCATGTCCTCTAATTTGCGAATGGATATGATATCATGTAAAATATAAGGAAATTTTGGTGTTCTCAGGCGTGCAAAAACAATGCATTAGTGAAATACAGTCAAGAATCTCCTCCATCCTTCTTGTATCGGGACCACAGGAAATTCACACAGTGCCACAAGGCTTGGAACTGCGTGCGCTTTGTTTTGTATGAAGCTGACGTTGAAGTATGGGTTTTTCTTCTTGTTGCTTTCTTCCCTCTTTTGCAATTTCTTCTCAGGTTCCACCCCTGCCAAAGGGTAGTACGCTTCAAACGCAAACCAGCTGATTTGCCAAACTAAAAGCACAGCCGCCAGGGGCGGCCTGAGTTTCTTGATCGGCTCTGGTGTGATGACGCTAGCTGCCTCTTTAGAATGCCCCATGCGTTCAATGATGAAGGAGTGTCTCCACTTGTCATCTACCTCATCTCGCAGATCTCGAAACTGCTCCTCTTCCTCATCCCCCTGCAAAACTTCCATTACCTCATGAAGCACTTGTGTTTTGCAGGTTTGGGCTTTGGTTCTGCCAGTTGAAAGAAGACGCTGCAGCATGGTCTCCCGATCAGTTTCAGAAAGCTCAGCGCAAAAGAAATCAATGAGACCCTTCCTGGGCAACAGCAACACATCTGGAAACAAAGTACCCAAAACCGATGTGATTACACTACCTTAAATAAACTTAGACCTAGAAAAGCAATACATAGACCTAAGGGGGTAGCCTTACCATACACGTGAGCAACGAAAAAACAGGCTGCAACTCAGATTTCAGCTAACATAGACCTACAAAATCCAGCCATGTTGGCTATCATGATACAAAACATGGAAAAATGGAGGCATGACAGCTTGATTGAAATGCATTTACATACCTGCACTTTGCAACGCAACAGCTGTGAAGACCACAAACGTAGACCTGATCACCTGATTCATACCTGATGTTTGGGAGCATTTGGCATTGTGCAAGGTTTCACAGCAAATTTCAATTAAGTCTATGTTAGTATACTTCCATCACCAGTGACGTCTTAGCTTCTAACAATTCTTGTGCTTCACATGCTTCTACACACTTAACCATGGCCAAAGCAATTTGGAGTTGCAAACAAAGATCTAGTACGGTAAATCCATGGACTTGTGGAAAATTGCCCTTTTATAGATGATTCTCCCATAAAACCTCCATTTATAAGGGATTTTCCATGGCTATGTTAGTCATAACCAGATGGTACCCCCTAGTAAACTAACATAGACCCTGAAAATCACTATTTTTTAATGGACATGAATCTTCCAACCCCTGTCTGCCAGGGTCTATGTTAATATACCAGAGGGTAAATCCATGGATTTGCAGAAAATGGCACATTTATAGATGATTTTCCCATTAAAACCTCCATTTATAAGGGATTTTCCATGGCTATGTTAGTCATAACCAGATGGTACCCCCTAGTAAACTAACATAGACCCTGAAAATCACTTTTTTTTAATGGAAATGAATCTTCCAGCCCCTGTCTGCCAGGGTCTATGTTAATATACCAGAGGGTAAATCCATGGATTTGTGGAAAATGGCCCATTTATAGATGATTTTCCCATTAAACCCTCGATTTATAAGGGATTTTCCATGGCTATGTTAGTCATAACCAGATGGTACCCCCTAGTAAACTAACATAGACCCTGAAAATCACTATTTTTTAATGGACATGAATCTTCCAACCCCTGTCTGCCAGGGTCTATGTTAATATACCAGAGGGATTTTCCATGGCTATGTTAGTCATAACCAGATGGTACCCCCTAGTAAGCTAACATAGACCCTGAAAATCACTATTTTTTAATGGACATGAATCTTCCAACCCCTGTCTGCCAGGGTCTATGTTAATATACCAGAGGGTAAATCCATGGATTTGCGGAAAATGGCACATTTATAGATGATTTTCCCATTAAAACCTCCATTTATAAGGGATTTTCCATGGCTATGTTGGTCATAACCAGATGGTACGGTCAATCCATGGATTTGTGGAAAATTGCCCATTTATAGATGATTTTCCCATTAAAACCTCCATTGATAAGGGATTTTCCATGGCTATGTTAGTCATAACCAGATGGTACCCCCCCCTAGTAAACTAACATAGACCCTGAAAATCACTATTTTTTAATGGAAATGAATCTTCCAGCACCTGTCTGCCAGGGTCTATGTTGATATACCAGAGGGTAAATCCATGGATTTGTGGAAAATGGCACATTTATAGATGATTTTCCCATTAAACCCTCGATTTATAAGGGATTTTCCATGGCTATGTTAGTCATAACCAGATGGTACCCCCTAGTAAACTAACATAGACCATGAAAATCACTATTTTTTAATGGACATGAATCTTCCAGCACCTGTCTGCCAGGGTCTATGTTAATATACCAGAGGGTCAATCCATGGATTTATGGAAAATGACCCATTTATAGATGATTTTCCCATTAAAACCTCCATTTATAAGGGATTTTCCATGGCTATATTAGTCATAACCAGATGGTACCCCCCTAGTAAACTAACATAGACACTGAAAATCACTATTGTTTAATGGACATGAATCTTCCAACCCCTGTCTGCCAGGGTCTATGTTCATATACCAGAGGGTAACCATGGATTTGTGGAAAATGGTCCATTTATAGATGATTTTCCCATTAAAACCTCCATTTATAAGGGATTTTCCATGGCTATGTTAGTCATAACCAGATGGTACCCCCTAGTAAACTAACATAGACCCTGAAAATCATTATTTTTTAATGGACATGAATCTTCCAACCCCTGTCTGCCAGGGTCTATGTTAATATACCAGATGGTAAATCCATGGATTTGTGGAAAATTGCCCATTTATAGATGATTTTCCCATTAAAACCCTCCATTTATAAGTGATTTTCCATGGCTATGTTAGTCATAACCAGATGGTACCCCCTAGTAAACTAACATAGACCATGAAAATCACTTTTTTTTTAAGGGACATGAATCTTCCAACCCCTGTCTGCCAGGGTCTATGTTAATATACCAGAAGGTAAATCCATGGATTTGTGGAAAATGGCACATTTATAGATGATTTTCCCATTAAAACCTCCATTTATAAGGGATTTTCCATGGCTATGTTAGCCATAACCAGATGGTACCCCCTAGTAAACTAACATAGGCCCTGAAAATCACTATTTTTTTAATGGACATGAATCTTCCAACCCCTGTCTGCCAGGGTCTATGTTAATATACCAGAGGGTGGCCCATTTATAGATGATTTGCCCATTAAAACTTCCATTTATAAGGGATTTTCCATGGCTATATTAGTCATAACCAGATGGTACCCCCCCTAGTAAACTAACATAGACACTGAAAATCACTATTGTTTAATGGACATGAATCTTCCAACCCCTGTCTGCCAGGGTCTATGTTAATATACCAGAGGGTAAATCCATGGATTTGCGGAAAATGGCACATTTATAGATGATTTTCCCATTAAAACCTCCATTTATAAGGGATTTTCCATGGCTATGTTAGTCATAACCAGATGGTACCCCCTAGTAAACTAACATAGACCCTGAAAATCACTTTTTTTTAATGGAAATGAATCTTCCAGCCCCTGTCTGCCAGGGTCTATGTTAATATACCAGAGGGTAAATCCATGGATTTGTGGAAAATGGCCCATTTATAGATGATTTTCCCATTAAACCCTCGATTTATAAGGGATTTTCCATGGCTATGTTAGTCATAACCAGATGGTACCCCCTAGTAAACTAACATAGACCCTGAAAATCACTATTTTTTAATGGACATGAATCTTCCAACCCCTGTCTGCCAGGGTCTATGTTAATATACCAGAGGGTAAATCCATGGATTTGTGGAAAATTGCCCATTTATAGATGATTTTCCCATTAAAACCTCCATTTATAAGGGATTTTCCATGGCTATGTTAGTCATAACCAGATGGTACCCCCCTAGTAAACTAACATAGACCCTGAAAATTTTTAATGGACATGAATCTTCCAACCCCTGTCTGCCAGGGTCTATGTTAATATACCAGAGGGTAAATCCATGGATTTGTGGAAAATTGCCCATGATGATGTTCCCATTAAAACCTCCATTTATAAGGGATTTTCCATGGCTATGTTAGTCATAACCAGATGGTACCCCCTAGTAAACTAACATAGACCCTGAAAATCACTTTTTTTTAATGGAAATGAATCTTCCAGCCCCTGTCTGCCAGGGTCTATGTTAATATACCAGAGGGTAAATCCATGGATTTGTGGAAAATGGCCCATTTATAGATGATTTTCCCATTAAAACCTCCATTTATAAGGGATTTTCCATGGCTATGTTAGTCATAACCAGATGGTACCCCCTAGTAAACTAACATAGACCCTGAAAATTTTTAATGGACATGAATCTTCCAACCCCTGTCTGCCAGGGTCTATGTTAATATACCAGAGGGTAAATCCATGGATTTGTGGAAAATGGCCCATTTATAAACTAACATAGCAATGAAGACCTTTAGAGATTTTGTCTCAGATTCCGTTGGAGAATCAGGCAATTAACATAGACCTGCGTCAAAATGCTTCAAAAACCAAATTATCCTAACATGACTTTGTTCTGCACGGAACTTTGGTGTACTAACATAGCACATGTGTGGTGGTTGGTTCAAAAAGGTATCCTAACATAGGTTTTTGAGATGTTTGTTGTAAATGCTGTCAATGAAGACTTTTAGAGGTTTTGTCTAAGATTTCGTTGTAATTAAGAATATTAACATAGACCTGTGTCAAAATGCTTCAAAATGCTTCAAAAACCAAGTTATCCTAACATGACTTTGTTTTGCACATATTCGTTTTCTAGGGCTAAGTTTATTTAACCTAGAGTAAAATCCATCAAAATCGACTTAAAACGCCCCTGCAATCCACACCCACATTCCATGGCTGCACTAGAGCCATCCTTGAGGGCGGCACTGCTTGATGGCCACTGCTAACTTCTCCACAATGCTTGGAGCATGTGACCAGAGCTCGGTTGCGCGAGCATCCATGGCGTGGCGGGCGATGCAAAGATGAGATGCTTTTGTTGATGGACGATCTAGCTGTTATCAATCTCAATTTTTTTGGATATGTTTGAGATGATATGGGCGGTAAAGCTGCGTAAAATCCCCTTAAATATTCGGTGTTTGATACTGACATTAATATTATGTTGGTTGATTTTGATCATAGGTGCACACCCTCCAGAAAACTACAGCCAACCAAATTGGCACCCATATATCCGCTCATGTTCACACATTTATTGAACCCCGACTGCCAGGGTTTTTGATGGCTGCTTTGAGGATAAGTCACAGTGACCCTTCACACTTGGATGAGTTGGATACCAAACAACTAGCCAATCTGTGGGTCCTTGAGGTTACATCTTGACAGCTAGAAACTGTTCCCTTTTTATCATAGATTCATAGATTTTCAAAAATTATGACCATCTGGGCCCTGGGTGGCCACAAGTGCTGAGCAAGCCATCGAAACGCAAGCAGGGGGACTGGAGGGGGTTCATAGGGGAACAAAGATCTCCTGACTGAGATTCCAAAATCATGACTGTTAAACACAGAGGATCAGTAGCAAGAATAAACTCCGGCGCTATCCCCAACAGCTTGAAAGCTTCAGCGTCTTTTTCACACTGCGGCCGTGCGAGAACCCTCCGAAACCTCACCAACCATCATCATCAGAACCCACCGGAACCTCACCAAGCATCTTGACCGGAACCCTCCGGAACGTCACCACGTATCTGCAGCGGAACCTTCGGGAACCTCACCACACGGGAACCCTCCGGAATCTCACCAGGTATCTGCACCGGAACCCTCCAAAACCTCACCAGGTATCTTCACCAGGTATCTGCACCGGAAGCTTCCGGAACCTCATCAAGCATCTTCACCGGAACCCTCCGGAACGTCACCAGGTACCCGGAACCTCACCGGGTATCTGCACCAGAAGCTTCCGGAACTTCTCCGGAACCTGGTGTAGAAGCTGCACCGGATCGCACCAGAGCTAATCTGGGCTAAAGACCCCATAGCAAAGTTTTGCTGTTGGGGAAAAACACACCGGTTTGAAGCCACCAAGTATATAGTCATCCATTGAAATCTACTGTAAAAATAACGCATCTTGGACAGTCATCGGGACCTTTTCCATCAACAGCAACACGAATGTCGCATGCTGCAGTCACTGGAAGTGATGAACCCTGATTCAGTGGATGAGAGCTGGGCAAGATCCTAGCTTCACAGATGCGTTTTTCTTTTCAAAACAGCTGATGGAATGGCAATTTGAAATTCAGCCACCGGTTGGTATCAGTGAATCCCCTTCTCCCCCAGTGAACCAAACGTTACATTGGCTCGATTGTCAGCATCCCAAGGCAGGGGGAATGGCGCACCTTAGCAGATTCTGGCTCAGTATTCCAATCTGGATACACAAACTCCTGATCACCTCCAGGGCAAAGGCTGGGGGCAAATGGGAGCCTAAGAGATGCTAAGAGATGCTAAGAGATGCTAAGAGATGCTAAGATGCTTATTGTTGAGCCCAAACAGCGCCCCATTGAGGAAAGCTCTTCTGTTGTTTCTGAGATTCACCCCCTAAGACAAAAAATGCAGGAAACCCTTGCATGACACGGGTGATGGTTATCCCATTATTTGTACCCCCATAGTGGGTGATTTTATACAACTACGATTGCTGATAAATTCCCAGCTGTTCATAAATTCCAGTTTCTATGAGGAAAATGTCAATGGTTCTTTCCAAAATCACTATTATGTTTCAATCCTTGTGTTTGATGGTTCAATCCCTATTTATGATTGTTCAATCGCTATGTTCAATGGTTAAACCCTTAATTTTTTAATTTTTGAGGGTTAAACCCCCACTTCCAAGGCCCATCGCCGCTTTTTCCGTGCCTTGTGCTGCGAGGTGCCGGGCTGAGCTGGACACGTCTTGAAGCAAACCTGGGCCAGGCTTTTGCAAAACACCAAAAAAAAATCCAGGTATGTTGGCGCATGTGCGAGTACCCTCTGGTAAACTAACATAGCTATGGAAAATCACCGTTTTTAATGGGAAAATCCACTATAAATGGCAATTTTCAGTAGTTATGTTAAATTACCAGAGGGTATATACATTACATTACACTACATAACATTCCACTCTTCAATTATATAATATTATATGTACGTATACCGTATATCTATATCTACGTGACAATTCTGATCTGATCCAATAAACATCTAGCGTAGTCGAAAGTGATCTGGTGGGAAAAAAACAAAAACCGACTCATTTAATCTAATCCAATCCAACCCAGTCCCATCCCATCCATCCATCTACCTCTAGCTCTCTCCTATCCTTGTATGATTTTGTGTGCTCTATAGCGTGAAGCACCCCCAAAATAGTGGTCTTAATGGAATGTAGGCATCAAGTGGTCTAGTGAATCTTTCTGGGGAGCCCTAAAACTCTTTCTGAGGCGATGATCCAATAACCCTATTATCGCAGTCACCAGGGCTTGGGGTACATATAGGTGGGGCAGGGTGGGGCTAGGAACCGGAAACCATGCATTGTGTTCCCAGGGATATCATGGCCAAATCACATAACTCAGAATGGAGCTAGGTACCAGGCATCTGCCTTTGAATACAGATCTACGAATCTACCATAGCAAACTAGTACCTGGTCCTGGGCCCAACAGCTCTATACCATTGAATGATTGCGTTTTTCTCTTCACATTCCAGTTCTTCTACCCCTATAGCAACCCCCAAAATAGAAAAGTAGATCGTCATCACAATTTTAGTTGGATTCGACTGTTCTATCTCTTTTGGGGGTCGCTATTATATAATATTTGTTCAGTGGGATCGGACACGTCCTGCTGCCAAAGCTACGGGCATGCTTGTAGTAGTTCACAGGCCTTGGTGACAGATGACATCCTTCGGCAGTGGAAGATCCAACGTTTCATGTGAGTTGTGTCCAAAAGGTTTTCTTCTTCTGAAGGCGCTAAGGGAATGCTTACGCGGCAGCTTACGCGCCCGCAGTTTTAGTTTACGCGCGGGAATAGCTTACGCTGATGCTTACGCGGGCTTACGCACACCAGGGTTTTTGCTTACGCAAGGTCCTTATTGCCACCCTCTTACTAAAAATGAATAAGGTGGTTTTGGACGTGGCTCATGTGAAAATATTGGATTTGTTGAAAAAAATCTGGGATGATCATCATCGAACTAAATGGGTTAGTTATCTGGGTGATTTTCCATTGCCAGGTTAAATTGCGATAGGGTGCATGATAGCAATACTGCGCACAGATCCGGACGTTTGCCCGGAGCACAAACCTGTCGCACAAAATGAGTCTCTTTTTCAACGGACCCCGATGAAGTCTGCGAAGGGTTGGCATACCTGGTATCTCAGGCACGGCGAGGAGAGACGCCTATGCAATGTACCATCCAAGCAAATTCATTATTATACCGTTATACCCTTCTACCTATTGTGGCAGGGGGGTTGCAGATTTATACCATGTATTGTGTGATTTTACACCATAAATGAATATAAATGATAAATTTTAATCATAAATCCATCATACCCTGCTACATACTGTTTCAGGGGTGTGGCAGATGTTGTGCCCATAATAGCATTGTTTTGGTGACGGCGCCCCTCAGGCGACCGCACTGTCGTCAGTTTCGTCATGATGAAGATATATGTATCATGTGTTTCAGGGATGGGAGGGAGGTTGGGTGGGTGGCGGGGCTTGTCTATTCTTCCTGGATGAGATGCAACCATATCTGCCATATCGTACACACACACACATTGGATGTTACCTTCTACGATCTTCCGGCGCACTTCCATCCACATTTGATGTTACGTTCTACGATCTTCTGTACCACTTGCATGCACACTCGATGTTAAGTTCGATGATCTTCTGTAACGCTCGCACGCACACACAAATACACACAGAGACACTCGATGTTACGGTATCCGGTCAAGGGTTGGACTGCATCTGGGATGGTCTCAAATCATTTTTGCCAAGACAACTCTCGACCCGACAGTTGATAGGAAACCAACTCAAATTGCAGATGAACAGATATGTTTGGATCTGGTATTGGAAACACTGTAAGGCAGGATCCCCGAAAGATCTCGTGTTGGAGTTGGCAAAGCTCATGATGTCAACAAACAAAAAAATATAAGATTGGCTACTGGAAGTCACTTCGACACAAGTCAGACAGTGCCAAAAAATGCTTCAGATGTTTTTTTGGGCACAAGTTTTAGAACACTATCTTTTCAAAAAAATGTCGTTTAACTACAGCGAAAACAACACCAACTTCAGTTTGAGGCGCGGGTCCAGTGTTTTTGAAGCATTTTGACACTTGGATCGAACAAGGTTGATGAATAATAAATGCCGTGTTTTACAGGAAATGTTGTTGTAAGGATTAAGGATCTGAAAATATTTTGAAAAACAGAAAAGAGCGCGGTCACTCCACAGGCGCCGCCACCATGTTTTTACATAGCAAATCCATGTTCATACCATTCTACGGCGATATTGTTTGAGGGAGGTGAGTTATATCTTTTATTTGTGTTGTTAAACTGTGGTAAGAGTATGTAATAGTGGTATATTCTGACATCATGTTGCGCGAATGTTAGGATCTGCAGGCAATAATGATACTAGCGCTGTGTAATGTCACTACTTACTGAATTCATCCCTTGTTTGTCATCTTCTTCTTACCAGTACCGGACAAACAAGGCAAGACAAACAAGCTACATCCCTGTAACGTTGATGGTGAAATCCCAATGTTGGATGTGTTTGATCCCTATTTTCATGAGTAAAAATATCGCTCTTTGATGTTACCCTCTGGTAATTTAACATATTATAGCTATTGAAAATGGCCATTTAATAGTTGATTTACTCACTAAAAATTGTGATTTTCAACAGCTATGTTAGTTTACCAGAGGGTACATCCCAATGTTTGATCTTGTTTGATGGTCAAACAGTTTCCATACTGTAGTCGCCGACCGCATGAGGCTCCCGCAAACCAAGCTCCGTCAACTCCTCGATGAAGGCCACCCCACGTGTCCATTCCTAAGCTGCTTGGGTGGTGATTTGACATCGAATGGATGAAGGGTGTGTAATATTGTCGAATTGTGATTTATTGTGATTAATTGTGGCTGTATCATCTATCATCTATACATGATATATGTCTTGTGATCATGTGTAATCAACATCACGTCCGTAGAATCGATTTGCAACATCAATCACATACGATGATGATGCATACACAGCAGAATTGCATAATTCAAAGCATCGGAAGTTTCATCGCAAAATCATACGACGCTCGCGCATTCAAACCCAAACAATGCAAAGACAGCAATCCCCGATTCCACAGCAGTAGAACTGGCGTGGCTGGGATGGGCTTGGAATCCATTGCTGTCTTCCTTCGGCTCCCAAACAGTCCCCAGGCCACCTGTGGGTGACACAGCTGACATACCCAAAGCCAAAGCCCTGTGCATCCTATGGCAATTCTGGCTATGTTGGGCCCCAGTGTCGGCATTGTACACGGCAGCATCCACCAAAAGATGGTAGACCTACAGCCAGGTCCATGACGTCCATGGCGTCCAAGGGGTCCATAGGGTCCATGGGGTCCATGGGGTCCATGGCTGGGATGTTTTAGATATCCAATCACCTAATAAAAAGAACGGTCCCTTTTTGGCGGGTCAAGAATGAGCTAGTCTGATACTAAGCCATCCTTCTCGGGGGCGATTTGTGGGGAAGTGGGTTCCTTCTGCTCCTAGATGATTCTAAAAGTTTCCCAAAGACGGCTGAAAAATTCCGGACTGAAGCCACCAAGTCGTGGGCGAAAATCTTGGGTACACCCCAAAAATGATGGGAAAATGATAAAACAACATTGGATTTTGAGGGGAAACCCTAATCTATGGCTGCTATAGCTCATGCTTCATCCATCCTCCCCGGATGGTGGGTTTTTTGATCAAAAGAGGGGTTCCTCGCCTTGGTCCAGGTCGCAGTGAGGTTCAGCTCCAACTTGGCCGCTGAAGCGGCCTGTCCACTGCTGTGTTGGTGATGGCTGAGAAGGGGAAACCAATGATGAGAAGGGGGACCCCATGGTAGGAAATCCCAACATGAAGGTTTGTAACGTTGGTTTGCTATGAGTTTGTGGTGGCACTTTGGTTGGCACTACTATCACGATGATTGTTGGTTATTCATTGTGATAATATGTGATGATGCACATGAATACACCGGATACTTTATCAGCAGGATTGGACCCTAATCCAATCGATCAGATACAGTATTATATAATGTTGTTGTTTATATCAATATCATTTTTGTCTGACCTACGTATCTAGTAGATGTAGCATGATGTAGCATCCTTTCTTATTCCAGGCCATGTCCAACTTCAATACCGCCAGTCAAGTGGCTGCTTCCGTGGCTACAGGATCCTGCGGGCTCTGGGGCGGTTTGTGTCTGAAAATGGCACCCCCGTATCTCACGGTAGATCAAAATCAAACTTACACTGGCAATCACTGGCAACTTTTGGGGAACGTCTGGGAATGCCCCAGGTTTTTGGGTTTTTGGGCAAATCATGACAAAACTCAACCTCCTTCTGCAACATTCTGCAACCTTCGACTCTCGACTGCCCATTCTGTGCATTTTTGTGCGTCCTTAGCGATTCTGATGAGACTTTGTCGCAGGTCCAGAACAGTGTCTCGCAAGGCCAAGGCACTCGGCCAATCAGAGATGCCCTTGGTGAATTTTTGGGGCGGCTTCATGGCCAGATGATGCCAGTTCGTGAACACTGAGATCCGAGAACAGTGGTGCTTATGGCTTTGGATGTCATGATGAGGGAATGTGCATGACAAGGTTCAGAAAGAAAAATTCGGTCCATTTGGAAACACAGAACCCATCAACTGGAATATCATTGCTGCTTCAGCCAAGCCGTGGCGAACTAATGCAAGCGCCAAACTCACATGCCAAGGCTGCCAAGGAACCGTGTAGCCTTCCAACATGATGCTGTAGCTGGTGATGTTTGGAGGCCACCCCGCTTCCTTCATACTCTCCTGGGATTTTCCGGCCGGGTGGGCTCAACTGAGCGTGCTCACCATCTTACATAAACCACCATAAACCCATGATCCATCAGACAGACACCAGGACAGAAGACATAGAACCACCAGGAAAATTCACTTCACAACCCCCCTCATGTTTAGTGACTTAGTGGCGCCCTCTCAATGGCAATGGGAAACTGATGGACGATCGAGGCCAAGCGTCCAAGACCTCCATGGCGGCGTCCATGTCACCACGACGGCACTCAATGGCCATCATCATGTTCCACCTCGGCCATGGCGGTAAAATGCGGTAAACCCCCAAGTGCTTGGTTAATGGGATGGCTAAGGATGGCTTATTATGGCAATGGGTTTACCACAATTAGACATCAATAAACCACCATTTTCTAGATTTTGATGGTCTATAGTATCTGCAATCTGTTCTTTTTGGAGCGGGGGCACAGCCGGGACATCCCCCAATTTTCTGCTACACCTGGATTGCCTGCGCTCTGCCCCAAGTGTTGAAAGTGCCTTAAAATCCCACCTAGCCATACCTGACCAAGAAAATTCCAAGCCCATCTCTCCAGAGCTGCAGTCAAAATGACCACTATTGCAATCACCGCACGGGATGCACAGGCAATTGGTTTTGCAGACCAACATCTTTCCCAAATCTGTCAGAAGGAAAGATGATTGGAGGATGTTTTTGGATGATTGGAGGTATTTCGGTATGTGTCAACATTGCGTACCCCTGAAATGGGATTGTTGACACATGTCGATACAAAAGACGATGAACTATGCGGCCCCTGGCGTGAAATCTCGACCACCCCTTAGGGGATCATCGGGATATCATTGAAGGATAACTGGCTCTCCAATCCCTCCTAGACCTTGGGACCTTGGGTTTACTCCCTCTTTCAGCTCACCCTGGCCCAAAGCTGGAGCTCCGCACGCGAACCTTAGATCTTGGCCAATGGGGGGACTCTTCTGGTTGAAACATGATGGAACCGGAAAGGCGGGACCCGGAAAAAATCCGTCACGTGGATGGATTTTTTCCTGGGGCAAGTCAGGCACGCAAGGTCAACAGCATAGTTGTGTCAAATTATGGCAATGAATATCAAATGATATAAATGAAACCAACATTGAGTCAAGACATTTACACCAATGACACCCAGTTTGCTGCCCTTTTTGTTCAACACCAAGAGACGGGTCCTTAGCGCCTCCAAGCTCCACCAAACGTTGAAACACACGCGAGGCATCCTCGTAGTATCCTGGTGCAGTGGTTTAGTGGTTTTAACCCCTGTGAAACCCAAGAATCCAAGAAAATCAAAGATATATTTGCCATGGAAAACACATCCGTGCATTAAGAAAACTAATGGTCACAAAGTTGACTGATGGACATACATGTCGGTTGATTACATGTTGAGCTAGATACTGCAACATCTGCAACTGTGGCTCATGAACACGGAATCAACATAATCAACAATGTTGCAAAATGTTGCAGAAACCAGCACTTGGGCATCCAATTTGCGGTTCCATCATCAATTTGCTCAGTGCATGGCACCTTCGCGAGCCAGACCGATGAAGGCGCACCTGAATCATGAGGCTGGGTTCCAGCCAGAGATTGGACATTTGTTTTTTGAATAAATTGCGTTTTAATGCGTTTTACGGGTCATCTGTGTCAAGACTCTGAAATGCCTCTTGCTATGGGTCTGACAGTCTGACCTCAAAAATTCATCTGCATCAAATTTTGCATCTCCAAATTGCATATTTATTGGTGCCAAAAATGCATGTGCAGTTTTTAAATCTCAATGTTCAATGGCACAAAGGACAAGAAATTTGCATTCCAGCAACCAGATATGCATTTTCAAGCCCACAAGACTTCCAAATATGCATTCTTGAATGGTACCAAAAATAAAAGGTGCATGTTGAGTTTGTAAATCTCCATGTTCAATTGCACCAGGGCACCAGGGACAAAAAAAATGCGAAAGTAGGTTTGAGCTCATTAGATTGGGATCAAGTCGAATATGATCAACGAAATTGCGCCAAAAAACTTCCGAGTTACGAACGATGGTCATGGTTAGCATTCACACCATCATGCCAACCACATCATCATGTCAACCACCCGTCATCAAGTAGTTGGGAAACGCAAGAGTTCGGAAGCGTGTGAGCTCACGGGTGAAAACATTCTCGGGCGCGAAACACGGTTTCTTTCGAGTAAAGTGGTTTCCAGAGTCGCCGAAGTAGTGTCTCTGTTTCCGCGGTTGCAGGCCTCGATCTGCTAAAGTTGTCGGCAAAAAGTGCACAGGACTGTAGCGAGAGCTTGATTTGCACTTCAAAACGTTAAAGAAGTGAGGCGTTCGGAGCACTTTTGGAAGATGAGGGCTAAATTTGCTCCAGGCTGTAGCAAGAGCTCAATTTCACCAAAAAAAAGAAACGTAAAAAAAATTAGGTGTTCAGAGTAGCGCGAAATCGCCCCCATTGTCAGGCGCTGCGCGAACGTTGGTCGATTTGGCGCGACGCTCCTGCTATGCGGGTTTCCAACCGCTTCTGACAGAACGCATTGGGCTGGCTGCGCGCCGCAAAGCCTGAGTGATGCTGCGGCGCTCTTGCTATGCGGGGTGGAGGTGGAGGTTTCCAAACGCACTGTAACTTAACAGCTGTGCCAAGAGAAGAATTGGGGCTACAGAAGAGCTAGCTGGGAGGCAGAACAAAGACGTAGCTCATTCATCCATCCATTCATCATCCATTCGGCCGTTCATTCACTGATTCATTGATTCATCAATTCACTAGTTCATTCATTGATTCACTGACTCACTGCTTCATCACTTGTTCATTGATTCACTGATTCATTCCTTCATTGGTGCATCGACTCACTACAAGTAATTCACTCATTCATTGCTTTGCTGCTTCATTAGTTCAATGATTCCCTGAATCATCAGTTGATTGAATCATTGATTCACTGCTTCATTGCGTCATTATTTCTATCATTCATTGATAAGTTCGCTCATTCGCTAATAAGTTCGCTCATTCACTGATTCATTGGTTCATTGATTCACTGATTCACCGAATCATCGATTTGTTGATTCATTGATTCCTGGATTCGTTGATTCACTGAATCATCGGTTCACTGAATCACTGATGCACCGATTCATTGAATTCATTGATTCACTGATTCATTGACTCACTACATCATCGATTCATCGATCCACTGATTCACCAAATCATCGATTCGTTGATTCAATTGACTCATTGATTCCTGGATTCGTTGATTCACTAAGACATCGGTTCAACGAATCACCGATTCACTGATTCATTGATTCATCGGCTCACTAGTTCGCTTTATCATTGCTTCATTGACTCATCGACTCATTATCCTCGTTCATTCATTGATTCATTGAACCATCGATTCATTAATGCATCGGTAATGCATCGGTTCATTGATTCATCGACTCATCTATTCGTTGATTCACTGCTTCAGTGATTCGCGGGTTCATTGATTCATCGACTCATTGACTCACTCATTCATTGATTCACTGAATGAGCGATTCATTGATTCACTGACTCATTGAGTCACTGAATCATTGATGCTTTGATTCATGGACTCACTGATTCACTCTTTCATTGCTTCGCTGCTTCATTGGTTCGTTGGTTCATTGGTTCATTCGGTCAGTTGTGTGTGGATTCTTTCACGTCATGTCATTGGCATCTCAGCCACCATCTGCTCATTCGTTGACGCACCTCGCAACTTCGACAGTTCATTGCTTCTGCATCGCAAAAACTTTCCTACAGGCCATTGATTTCTTATAACCATTTCCTATGTTCGAAACTTCTGCCCCGGCGCGTGCCGGGCACTATCTGGTACAATGATGTATTTATTGTATACCGGTAATATTGTGTGTGTTAGCGTATGCTCCGCTCAACTTTACACGTCGTTCCACCACAGCTCCAAGCGACGTGTAATGTGGTGCCCCCGGGCGGACGCCGTCACTGCGCATGCGCGTCAGTAAGCGGAGCGCCAGCTCCACCTGTACCATGTGGAGCAAACCCCTATGGTGGGTAAAAATCCCAAGATTTGTAGGTCAAATGTCCTAAAAGCCCTGCCTGTGCCATACAAATACCTATGTCAATGTGATTCAATGTGTCATGTTTTTTTGGTGGAGTTCTCCTTAAATTCATGCTTCAATATCATTCATCGCATGGTTTTTATTGACCAAGCTCCCCAATTGTTGGCAATTGGCAATTGGGTGTGTCTGAAAATAGGTGCCCCCAAGCCCAATGGTGTGAAAATTAAAGCAGTTCTTTCGCATTGGGTCGTCATGAACTGGGATATAACTACCCCATTTCAATTTCAGGACAAATCCACTTCACTTTATATGCGTGGGTCTTGGTCAAAATCACGTTTCCCCATTTCTAGATTGTAAATGCTGAAGATGTCAGGATGACCAAAATCTATGGCCCTCTCTGCCTTAAAATCTGACCTCATGATGCTAGCTGCTATCTCTAACTCCAATATTTATTAAAATCCGTTGCTTTCCTTGTGGAATTTTGTTCTCCATGGATTTCCATTGAAGTGTTCTGGAAAGGACACGTGCTCACATCGCCACGCCTGACCAGAGGCAACGACGGCCTTGATGAGCTTCAGATAGGTGATCTGGTTCCAGGAAATGCCCGCCTCCAGGAGACCCCAAATCACTCATTTGAAAATTTGAACATGTCCATTTTTGGGCACCCCAACACCATGCAAGATGAAAACCCCACCTCCCTCATCCGATTGGCCACTTGTAAGGCCAATGTCATCTGCCCCGACTGCCCATAGCAACTCGGAGGATGCAAATTTGTCAGATCGGTAGCTGGCAAGCGACATGGATCTGAAAGTGGGACTTCGATGGGAAGGCATACTTTTGTATGTACCTCTCTCTCTATCTCCCTCTCTCTCTCCATTGCCATCTCCAGGAGTCTAGCCACTGTTGTGTGTGTGTGCACATATGTTTGTGCATATATACATATACATATATATATACACAGAAATTGATATTAGAATTAGATATAGATATTGCTATATAAACAGATCGCCAATAGATATACATAAATAGATATAGAAAATTATAGTTAGCTATTCTTTCTGATTATTTTTCTATTTGTTTTTCTATGTATTCTTTATATTTATGTTTCTACTTGTTGTCTATTTATTTATCAGTTTATTATTTATTTACTTATCATTATCTGTGTTTTTTCTATTTCTGCATTATATATATACACTATTTGCGCATTGCTCCGCATTATCTGTATGTATGCCTCTGTATATATATATACACATATGCATATCGGTTTCCTACACACGCAGAAGATAAGTGTTTACGTGTTTATGTATGTATACATATATATATATATATTCCAATCATTCTAGTCAAGATGAACGTTTTTCAAAAACATCCATCCATATGACATGAAGGCCCTTTTTCCCAACCATTCCATCACTCAGGTCCCTCCGGCATCACTTTTGGGCTGAAGCATGAATTTAAAAAAACTGAAGACAATGCAAAAGGTTTCAGTTTTAAGTTAAAAAAGCATAGCACCCTCTTCATCTCTAATTAAATAGCATTAAGTTTCAATTTTTCTGAGATTTTGTGGAATAACACCGGAGCCGGGCCTGGGTCCAGTCTAAGATCTACGTTGTCTATTCTCACTTCCAATGTATGATATAGTTGCAGTAAGATTCAGATATGATCGACGTATTGTATTAAATTATATTATAGACATATATATGCTATATATATATATCATTTGGTTGAATTGAATAATCGCCAACTCTCTGATTTGTCATGAAGGTATTCATCCTGGGGCAGCCCCATCTGGTGTAACCTGCCAGTTGAAGTAATCCCTGCAGCACTAAGTTCAGGTGCTCAATGAGGTGGTTGTAGTTGTCCGTCTCCTGTGCCCACTTTCAAATAGATTCAACGGGGAAAGTATGAAAAAGTACTAGGAAACTAATGAATTGTTTTCCAAAGTAAATATAGCCTGTACATTACATACATGCTCTCTTCATCCAATTGCAGGATAAAAGGGAAGTCCACAATGACAAATTCAACATAAGTTCGAAGCAATTCCGTTTAATCCATCAGAGACGACCAGCAATTGGGTTTGCACTTCTTATCGAACAATTTGGGAGTCATCATCCCAGGATGGATCAGCAAGTAAACCTCTCCCCTTTTTGAACTACACCCATCAAGCGGTTGGAATGTGTTGGATCTATTCAGTTTATTCAGCCCATAAGTATGGGGCCGATGTCAATGTCCGAGGAAATGATTGCCTGAAAAAATCTTGAAAAACCATCAGCCAATAAATTCTATGGAATGCGTACAGGGTTTAATAATATGTTAATAATATGTTAATGTCCTCCCATTTTTGGGATCATGGCATCAGATTGACATCACGCTGCCCAGTGCCGGGGACTAACGGGATCCAGGGCTCCGGTGTAACGCCCATCTGCTCCATGATCCGCAGCAACTGCCGCACATCCGTGGCCGCATCCAAGCGGCTGAAACAACACCGCTGCAAGATGCTGAAAGTGACCTGGAAAGCAACGAGACCTACATGGCGAGGCTAACTTGGACCCATGTTCCACGTTGATTCACGTGATTTTATCTGGTGCCTGAAAAAATTGGGGTGTCACTGGAAGATTGATAAGAAACCTAGTGAAAAGTGAAAATTCGCGGCTTGATACCTGTGGCAAAGGGATGCATTGTTGCAACTACCGCTACCTGGGACCTTCTCGCTTCTCATCAGTTGAACAACCGGCAAGGGTCTCGGTCTGAGACAACGTTGGTCAGTGACAGAACGACAAAAGAAACGAAAAGCCTCCATGTATGTTGAGTCATTTCCCACCCTTGCAAAATCCTCACACACCATGGTTGCATGGATTTACCGTACCTGGTCCTGTGGCGCAAGTGTCAAGCTTACTAAGCTGCCTGCCAACCACGCCTAGAATACATATTAGATCATATTAGGACCATTATTAGGAGGTATAATGAGGAGCTCAGGGAAAGAGAGCTCCACCATTCCACAGGCACTTGCGCTCTGCAAACTGTTTCGCCAAGAGACTGCACTGAGTCGGATCTTTCGCTGTCTCAGAATTCCCAACACCGAGAAGGTATCCCGAAAGCGGCCCAGCCTGCAGGAACCGGCTGGCTGCTGACTGCTGTCAGGATAAGTCCGCTGAAGTCACATCACGAGCATTTTTTGATGTTTTTTGTAACCATTGCGGGCGCCACTGAATTCCGCAGTCGAAAATAGCTGAAATCTAGGAAACATATGGAAAAAAACGGCAATAAGCAATACTGATCAATAATGCATGGTTTAACACAAATATAAAATCACTGGGTAAGTTAAAACTGAGTTCTGTGTGGCGCCAAGATGCGCCTTCAACATGAAGACGCGACTTAAGTCAAGACACCACTAGCTTGGGTTCTTGAGGTTTCCAAGTATCATCACGTCTATCCCTGATGCTTCAGACGGTGATCTTAGGCATCTGCCGAAGATTAGAGCTGAAGAGACGACCCCAAAAACAGTTGAACAAACAAATCCAAAAGCCCTAGCTCAGGTTTTTGGAAAGTGAAACAAACGCCACTGCCGAAGGTGGCTGTCTACATGCGACCCTGCCGGCCTGGAGTAACCCGCCATGAGGGCGGTGTACAAATATAGTGGCTCCTGTGGTCCAGGCGCATGAGGCATTTCCCATGGCAGGTCTCCGTCACTTTTCTCGCTGTTTCATGATCCCCTATTGATCCCCTAAAAAATTGCAAGCCTTTGATTTTGCTTGCAAATGTGGCGTTTATGCACCAGGATCAATAGAAAGATGCTTGTTGTCAATGGGGTGTATCATGCCATGTCCGACATCATCCAACTATTCAGACTAGTCCTAGATCAATCCAACGGATGAAGGTTGGCTCCCAGGACTTGCTGCCAAGCATCTGCAACCTCCATACGGAAATCAAACTTTTGGCGTCGCATCAGCCTTAGTGAGGTGGGTGGGTTTGCCCAAAATTGGCGTCATATATTTATGTATATATATATATCAGTTTATTGCCAGTTTGAGGAGAACTGGTTTGTAGCCACTGACCCAGAAGTGCAACAACTTGAATAAAGCCGCACAAGCCTGTACAGAGTACAGGGTTCCTTTCTTAAGCCAATTGATTTGGATGTTGCCATTCAAGGTGGCTAAAATGTGGCTATATAAATATATAAATAGGTCCAAGGCCTAAAATCATCCCAGACTGCCCGAGAGCTGGTGTATTGTGTATCATTGGAATAGGCGGATGGAAATTCAACCAAAGTGGTAGCTGTCGCCCTGCAAACATCAAATGAATTATATATGGTTGATTACCTTGATGCAAATGGTCATTGCCAGAATCCCGAAACCCTCACCCAATGGTATGCCAAAATCCACCCCTTCACCAGCTGGTTCCATGCATCGTCTGTTCAGTAACTCCCCACCCCACCACTCAAAACATGGTGGCCTACAAAGCCAGGTGGCTCCTCTCCCTTGCGAAGGTAGAGTTTTGCCCGATCCAGTTGAGGAGGGGTGGCAGACGAGTAGACCACCACCATCAACAAGAAGTATCTTAGCAGTTGTGATGGCGTTGGATAGTTCCAACAGGTGCTGCTGCTTTCAAGGCTAGGGCGTTCCCTTTCTACATACCTGAACATACCAATGAATTGAATGCCCTTTGATAAAATATATATGTTCCCAGTCCCCGGTATTCCCCGGTTCGGTAGCCCTCTCCGCTCCAAATGGTATGGTACCCCCAATTCCGCTATTGCAGCATTTCAGAGTCACGGCCACAAGCTTCCACCTGCAACCTATTTGCAGCATTTAGGAGCCGTATACTTCCTGCAAAATACCTCGGTACCACTTATGCACTACCTGCACGCTGTCCACATATTACCTATATATATATATACATCATTGTATTTCTTTTCCACTTATATACGACCAAGAGCGTATCCATACGCTACTCATATGTACCGTAATCCTACTTTATATGTATATTTAAATCTATATATATATTATGATTATTGGTGTTATTATTATTATTGTTATTATTATTATCATCATTAGTATTATTGTGCTTATTATTGTTATTATTGTTATATATTGTTATGATTATTACATGTTAGACATTACATGCCAGTATGCAACCTATACACCACTCATGGCGTGCCTATATACTACCATATACTACCTCTGTCCTATTCATCTACGACTGATAAGCTGCATCAACCCTCTCATTTTCCCACCCCCCACACCACAGGGAGAGGGGGCAACCACATACACTACCTAGATACCTCATACTAAGGATAGATATGTACATGTACGTGTAATTATATATATATATAACATTCATGTGTGTATATGTATATATGCATGTATGTATAGTACCTACATGTACCTACATATTCTATATACTTGCTACTTATTATACTATATTCTCTACAGCTTTACTACCTGTACACTGCCTATATACTACCTATACAACACGGTTACAAATAGATAGACACTACCTATGTACTACATGCATACTACCAGATAGCGCCTATGTACCACTTGTTTGGATGCGCTAGCTATTATAAATAAATAAATAAATAATAAATAAATAAATAAATAAATATATATATATTATTATATATGTATATATTATATTATATTATATTACGTATATATATATATATTATATATATATTCCCCATACAGCATATGCAACCCTCCTCTTCCCACCCCAACCCACACGACAGGGGGAGGGGGGATACCATGAACACACTGCATACACAACCACCTCCCACCCCCCAGGCCCACAGGGGGGTTGGTGACCATGGGTGGAGGGGGAGGGAACCAGAACCTGGAACATACCCTCTGGTAATTTAACATAGCTATTGAAAATGACCATTTATAGTGGATTTTCCTATTAAAAATGGTGATTTTCCATAGCTATGTTAGTTTACCAGAGGGTATATACTGTAACAAGTCCAGAATCTATGCAATGCAAAACATTGCCCCCAAAAAAAAATATGTTGTGCTCTTAACATGTGACAGTCAATGTGACATGCGCATAATACATACAGTTTACGCATGTTTGTACCTACATAATATGCGATTGTATGTGTTTATACAATGCATGCCCTACAAGGTACCCTCCCGTAATTTTAAATAGCTATCAAAAGTGGCCCATTTTAGATAGATTACTTATTTTGACTTATTGGAACTGTTGATTTTCCATGGCAATGTTAAATTACCAGAGGGTATGTCTACTGTACATCCCTTTCGGCAAATCTCGCACCATTGCCCGCAGCGTCCCAATATGCCGCCCAGAAACACCGCGTCAGGGATCAAGCCTTGAGCCTGTGTTCCATTGCACCAGGTACACGCTAGTGGGCTAGTGGGAACGACTTCCGTGCAAAAGTGATCAAACCGAAAAGATCTGCAAGTTTGCAACCCAAGTGGGCCCGACAGTGCCCAGAACTCCGGATCACAATCGATTGAATAGATATCGTATGATATCATATGATATCGTATGATATCGTATTTGGCCCAGGTTTCTGTGCCTGCGTCCGAGATAGCAAGGTTGAAGCCGCAAATGGGCCTGCCGGTTGCACAATCAAATCTCTGCGGCAACCCCGAGGACCCCCTATGACATAGCGTGAGGTGAACTGCTCACTAGCCCCAGCTGTTCATAATCATGCAAGTGAAGTGATGTGCAATCTGACAATGTTACGTTGCACCTTTTGAGCTACAAAATATCAATGGTTCGCGATGCCTTTTTGCCTTGCCATCTCCCGGACCAGCAACACATACCTCGTTTGCGGTGACCGGTGATAAGATAATGTTCTAAAATTCTATGAAATTCTAGGAATATATTTGCTGTTCTGCCTTGAGATTGTCCATGTTGCTGCTAAAGGTGAGCAAACGCCTCTAATTGTAGCTCAACATACATATCCCCCCAAGCGCAGTGTAGTGCAACGATACTCTAGAATCCACTGATATCACTGATATCCCTTGATATTCAGTTAGTTATTGGATTCAAGTGTAGTGTTGCGTTTCGCGTTTTCATTTCCGGGTGCCCGCCCAAAGGTGGCAAGTTGCATCCGCGAGTCCGGAGCCGGGAACCCCTCTTTGCCTCGGCTACAATAGCGTTTGTAGCAAAAGCCGCGCCGTTCTGGGATATCGGCACCCTGACCTGGAAAACCTGTCAGTTTATAGGACCACGAAGTCACGAAGCGATTTGTAATAGCCTTTATATGTCAACATTATGTCAACAAGTTGCAGTTTGGAACCTATTCACCTGGTCGCTGCCGCAAAACATCCAAATTATCACAACTTGTGTGCAGAGGTTCCTCTCTCCATGCACTCCACCATGTCGGCTGCCTCAGAAAGACCTCAGCCAAAAGCAACCATCGAGACAGCAGATTCCGCATCCAAGCCAACATGAAATACAGGAAATCAGATGAAATAAGAAGTGGGACACAGCGGGGCGCAAAAAATACGAAACCACGAGAAACGTTAGTGATCTGGGATGACTAGTTCAAGGGCGAATGCAAAGCAAGCCGCACGGATTCCGCTTGGGTTTGTTTCAATGCGGCGTACATATGATCTGGGAGCTCCTCCCAAGTGAGTCATGTAGATTCGTACCAAGGCAAGGAATTCAGCTGCCAATTTTTATGGGTAGGAAATTGTTAGGTTTTTTGTTCTTACTTTATTTTTTTGATTTCTGGCTGTGCCTTTTTTCCGTTGTATTTGCAGCATTTTGGAGCTGGAATCTTCCATTTTGCTTGCTGGAACCTTCCATTTTGCTTGCTATTTGTAGCATATTGGAGCTCGAACCTTCTATTGTGCATGATATTTGCATATATGTGCAACATTTTGGAGCTGGAATCTTCCATTCTGCAAGCTATTTGCAACATTTTAGAGCTGGAACCTTTCATTTTGCCTGCTATTTGCAGCATTTGAAGCTGGAACCTTCCATTTTGCTTGCTATTTGTAGCATTTTGGAGCTGGAACCTTCCATTTTGCTTGCTCTTTGCAGCATTTTGGAGCTGGAATCTTGCATTTGGCATGCTATCTGCAAGCCGTTGTTGGTTGTTGGTTGTTGTCTTTTCGTTGTGGGTTGGTGTACCTGGAGGAACACACCAACAACTGCTGATGGCATGGTTTTTGTTTGGGTGTAGGCAGTGTTTGTGGTTTCCTTATGCTTGTGGTTTTGGTTGCGGTGAACACCAACAAAGCCATGAAGTCAACAAGCCCTCAATTAAAGCTTTGCAAAGCCAAGAACAAAGAAAACTGGCAAAGCAATCAAGGCCGGAAAAAACACAGAAACAAAACAAAAGTTTCGAGTGGTATGTGCAATATTTTCAGCATTCTGCAATGTCAACCTGCGACGTGGAGATAGAACCTCTCATTTTGCCTGGCATCTGCGACATCTGGAAGATAGACCCTTCCAGTTGCATGGTATTGCAGAATTTTGCAGATGATAATTGCAACATGTTTGAACGTTAACCTTGCTGTCCATTTTGGATAACACTTGAAGCATCTTGAAGCATTGGGAAACCTTAACTTGTTAACCAGCTCATTTACATCCCATGGTCGTTACACCAACGCAAAGAAACTACAGTATAAGTATACAGTATAAGTATAAGGTCAAAACTGAAAGCACGAAACAATAAACTAGAAACAGCTGGAGGGTGCATGGGGGGAGGGCACAGCGCCTCGCCCCCAAGGAACACAGAGAAAAACTTTTCTAGTTGTGTTCCTCCCTTGCCGCTGTAGCTGTTTTTGTTGCTCTTGTTCTTGTTGTTGCTTTTGTTGTTCTTGGGGTTCCTTTTGTTTTGCTGCTCTTATTGTTTGTGCTGCTGGTGCTGTTCTTAATGTAGCTGCAATTGCACTTGTAATCAAGCAAAGCAACAACAAGGAAGCAAAAAAAACACAAAAAGCAGCAAAAGCAGAAAAGCAAAAAACAATACAAAGCAGACAAACAAAATTCCATAGAAACAAAAAATCAGAGAGGAAAGCAGAGAAGCAAAGAAGCAAACAAAAAAAACAGAGAAGCAACAAAGCAGAAAAGCAGAGTAGCAAAAAAAACGGACAAGAGTAGAAGCAAAAAAGCAGAAAATACAAAAAAAACAGAAAAGCAGATGAGCAACAAAAGCAGAAAAACAAAAAAGCAAAAAAAGAAAAATAACAAAGCAGAAAAGCAGATGAGCAACAAAAGCAGAAAAACAAAAAAGCAAAAAAAGAAAAATAACGAAGCAGAAAAGAAAAGAAGCAACAAAAGCAGAAAAGCAGAGATGCAAAAAAAGAAAATTAACAAAGCAGAAAAGCAACAAAGTGGAAAAGCAGATAAGCAAAAAAAGAGAAGCGTAGAAGCAAAACAGCAGAAAAGCAAAAAAAGAAGAGAAACAAAAAAAGCAGAGAGGCAGAAAAAGCAGAGAAGCAGAGAGAAGCAGAGAAGCAGAAAAGCAAGACAGTAGAGAGGAGGGAGAAATCAAAAAAAATTAAACTTTAAAAAACAATTCCCCAAATAAATGGCTACCCATTCTTTATCAGTTCTTAGGCCTGCCCTCGCCCTTGCCATCTTGGCATGGCACGTCCACTCCGCGCCAAGGCGTATACCACCTGCGCCCAGTCTTCTTCGTTGGGTTTCTGTTCCATGAACCAAGGCTGCACACGCTGATACAGCTGCCTTAGAAGCAGTGCAGGTGGGCATCACTTGCATTGGCAAAGTGAGGAAATCAAAAAATGCGTTGAGAATGCCACAGGAAACCAAGGGTGCATTGTAGTTCTTTAGAATTGCACCACAGCAACACCAACTCTTCAATAGCGGTGCATGTCTGACGAGGCATTGCCTGCCGCCCAGGATACACGATGTTCTCTGGAGACACGTCCGCTTTGCGGAGAGCCTAGGCACATCTGCAGGAGATCTAACTGAAGCCCCAAGGTCGTTTCGACATGGGTCTGACAATGGAGTTGATGATCCCCTTTTTGAGACCAAGTTCATATCAAGGAGAAATGCCTCGACACACCGGGTTATCTATGCGTGCGTGTGTCTGTACAAATAGAAATATAAGATCCTTCAGTACATCCTGGTCGTCCCACTATCGAACAACACGATATCATCTTGTTCGGATATTTATCCCACTCTACATTCCCATGATACCGCTATATACTAGGCTATATACACTATATGTCATGGAAAAAGAATAACTACCCACATGGCCATGGCGCCCCCCCTCTCCGTGTCCCAAAGGCTCGCAGGAGTCCGCGGAAATTCTCCACCGGCAATGCCATCGTTTCCTCCGCGATCAGTTCCAACATCTCGTGTCGGAGGTCACCTGGGCTGCGACACCTCCAGGAGAAACACCCAGTTTGGTCAGCAGCAATTTATGAATACGGATGGCCCAGCAAAGGCACTGCTGGCCGAGAGGAAGATACGCGCCACCAGCTGGTGCCTTAGTCACGGCCAGGGCGTATCTGAGTGACTTTGCTTCGTGGAACAGCTTCTCCCCAGTGAGTAGGGTAAAAACTTACACTACATCTACATACATTTACACCATACATGGCATATATGCATGTAATGTCATGCAATGTAATGTAATGCAATGCAACGCGACGTATGTATGAATGTATGAATGTATGAACGTATTAATGTATGAATGTATGAATGTATGCACGTACGTACGTTAGTAGGTAGGTAGGTCAGGTTAGGTTAGGTTCGGTTAGGTTAGGTTAGGTTAGGTAATGTAGGTGATGTAGGTGATGTAGGTGATGTAGGTAATGTAATGCAATGCAATGCAATGTAATGTAATGCAATGTAATGTAATGCAATGCAATGCAATGCAATGTAATGTAATATATGCATGCATGCATTGATGGATGGATGGATGGATGGATGGATGGATGGATGGATGGGTGTGTGGATGTATGGATGTATGGATGTATGGATGTATGTATGTATGTGTTTTTTTTGTATTTAATGTTGCTAATATATATATAATGTATAATATATATATATATACATATATCACTCCCTGTGTGTACTTCCACTTCCTGCGACAGGTACGTGTGCTTCTGTTATCTGCTTACTGCTCTGCACTGGAGCATAGTCACAAGCTGCGAAACTCCAAGGCCACCCCTCCATGATGAGCTCCAGCCACTGAAAACTACTCAACTCGTTGCAACTAGCGCTGTGCAGTGGCCATTAATTACTTCAGCCAATGACAACTGAAAAGCCGTTTGCTGCACACCATACATAAGTTGGAAGTTGTCTTCAAACCAGAAGAGGACTTTAGTTCACCTTCCCGGCCTGTTGAGTTCACATCAGCAGACTGTCCCTGAGCTCCCAGCGACCCTGAAACCTCTTGACGGAGCCGTTGCAGTAATTTCTGCTTGGTATCCTCATGGAATGGAAAATGGCTGAGCGGTTGAGGTGCCTTGATGCCATGAAATCATCAAAGGGAGGTTTCCTGACAAATAAATAAAGCTAGTTGAGGTGTGTGCATATAGAGACGTATATAGACACAATCAATTCCTCACTGGAGCCTATTATAGGTTTGGGGTATCTCAATGCTATGGCCCTTGAAACCATTTCGTTAACGAGTTGTTTCACATTGTGAGCTGAGCTACAGGGGTGCTAACCCATGGGTTTCACCAATATTTATATATATATATACATGTACATATAATACTATGTTAAAAAAATGCATGTATACATATAATATGATTTGCAATATCATGTACAACAATGTGTATATATAAATATATACATATATATATAACCAAATGACAATATAGTTAATACGACAATGTAAGGGAATAGAACAGAACCAAATACAATGAGCACAACACAGTACAATGACGATAGTACAATACAGCACAATACAATACCATACAATACCATACCATACCATATCATACCATAATAATATACAATACATAATTGGCAATACACTGCACTACAATACACTACAATACACTACAATACAATACAATACACTACAATACAATACAATACAATACAAAACAATACAATACAATACAATACAGTAGAACACCAGGGAAGGAATATATAGATACGGCAAGCAAGTCCGCCGTGAACCAAACTCAAAAACTGACGTCGTCTTTTGAGCAACACAACTTTGCCCCGGCTCGAAACCCCCTGGCCTGGTCTTCGCCAGCGTCTTCCTGGTGAGCCGATTGTCAATGTAAACTCAACGGTGTGCAGCAGACACGTCTCTGTCGAGCAATTAAACGAACATATAAATTATAGATCAAAAAATGTAGCAATGATATATAGTAAACAGACATAGATCATCATTCGATATTTAAACGCCCCCTCAATGCATGTCATAATCAAAACCATAATCATAATCATATCATATCATATATCATATCATAATCAAAACCATAATCATAATCATAATCACATCATATCATATCATATCATATCATATCATATCATATCATAAGCAAGTCATCATCATAATCATAATCATAATGATAATCATATCATATCAAATCATATCATATACATGCATATATTTTGCATGACCTTCTCCGTCGCTTGAGGCCTCCTGTGCAGCACCCACAGAGGACTCGATCTCTTGGTTTCGCATCACAATGGCCGAGGCTGGGCCTCTGGAGCTAGGCTTCGACGTGGATGCTGAGCAGCCAACTGGTGACTTTGAAATGTTCAACCAATCTGAAAAACCTTGCCAAAGGCCTGGGATGCAGCAAAAAAAATATCAGGAAAATATCCACATCATATATCAATATCTATCTATCTAATCTAATCTAATCTCATCTAATCTAATCTAAATCTGTTCTATCTATTCTATCTATTCTATCTATCTATCTATCTGTCTATCTATCTATCTATCTATCTATCTATCTGTCTATCGATCTATCTATCTATCTATCTATCTAA